CATGCACACCGTCAGATACAGGAACTGCTGTAATAACTTTGAGAACAGGAAAGATGTTTCCATTGAGGTAGATAAGATAAGCAATTTAAAAGCTCCAGGATCCTCACAACAAAACACAAGAGATCTAGAGAGACAAAGCTAAAGAACAATGATTGCTGTCCTGCTCTTATTCTCTCTGCTCACATCTGTGCTTGCCTGGGTGGTAAGAAACTTGTTTCAATTGTTAAACCTCTTGCTGAAAAATATATTGAATTATTTCTATGCGAGTAGAATAAGTCCTGTCAATCTTTTTGCATCCTGAGCCTTTCTATCGTTTTGTATTGTTCTGAGGTTGTGAACTACAGAACACTTACTGTATAATGCTGTTTATGTTACGCAACTTATTTTCTTGTCAAATTAAAAACAGTCAAGTATCACCGTTTTGTCATGAAGTTGTTGCTGGCATATTTAAAAGAACCCTGTCCCGATGGTTCTTCTAATTTTTGTAAAGTAAATTTAATGCAGGAGAGCTACTAGGTCTAGTTTAATCATTGGAAATCTGGGAAAAATAATAAACAGAGTTTTCAGCAAAATTTTATGAGGGAAGATGGCAGCTAAATTCAATTTGCCTCAACTGTCCAAACTTGTAATCATTCCTGACATTATTTCCTAAAGCTTAGGAAAGCTTCTCACTCTGTACTATTGTACTCCGTACTCACTCTGCACAGGGGTCCCAATTTCATTATCCTGTGGCCAGAAGGTTAGCCCTCAGCCCAGCAGGTTAAGCCAAATATACTATTGGCTATTAACATGCAATGCACATTTTTCTACATATCTATTTCTTGGGTTTCATTCCTTGTGAAACCCATAGCAGGTGCATGTACAGTAATTTGTATGGTGAAATGCAAGGCAAGTGAGCAGCCTGTTGACTTGACATAGTGTTACAAAGCGTTTGAAATTGGAGCCAGTACTCAACAGCATCTCACCCCTCATCTTCTACAGCCCATAGAACACTGGGGTGCAGCTAATGTGACACAAGGAGTGGACGAGAATGGCCAGTGTATCTGTCAAGTGTTCCTGCCAGACACAACCTTCCCAGCTGACAAAGTGGAACATCTGCAACAGACATCGAAAGTGCTTGGCCAGACTGTGGAGCTGGAAATGAGCAAGGTATGCAACTGTCATTATCTGTTTATTGAGATCATAGTGTTTCACATGTGGTACCTTTTGCACGCATGGAAAAGTCTACAAGATCTGGTATGTGAATAGTGTATAATGCAATTCCTCTATACCTGGTTAGTGAGGGAACAAGCACACAAAAGTTAATAGGGTTAGAAGAATTCATATTTCTAGATTTCTGAAACACATATTTATGTGTTTTTAAATCTGCTTTAGCTAGTCTTGAGAAGCTGCAACTTTTAGCCAAAATGCACACAAACTCCCTGATGATGTGCTGATCTTCACAGAGGGAAGGGGTCTCTGAAACCCAAATCCAGTGGCATAATGACAAACCTTAAGAAAGCCAAGTCACCGTGCATACAAGTAACTGCTCTGAGCTCTTCCTCACCTGCAGCTCGAAGTCTATGAAAGCAAACTGGTCATCTACTCTGAAAAGCTGGTCAACCTGACTGCGCGCTTGGAGTTCATCGAGAGCAGACCCGACAAGTACACAAAGCTGGAGTTCGAGCTGCTCAAGATCGAACTCAAGCAGATGGAAGTGCTGGTCACCCAGCTGAAGGCTTCTCTGAATTCTTCCTCTCCCATATTTGACATGCTGTATGCAGAGGTAAGGTACCGAATAGAGGGTACACAATCCCTGTCTTACCTTTCAGTATTTGGTATGGACACTATCAATAGGCTATCTCTGAAAATTTCAATCAAGTAATTATTAAAACAAGCTTGTGTAGCACATTCACAGTTTATTATTAACATGATTTAAAAGATGATTGAGCTACGTTCATTAATACAACATGCATTATTAAAAAGCAATTAATTCCAATTTGATTGATCCAACTCATCACGACCATTTCAAAAGCAGTAAAATCGCTTCAGTTAAAATGTTACGGTTGTCTAGAAGCTCTGTAACCTCACTGTTGTAATTGGTTTTCATCCTAGATCTACAACATGACAATAGTTGTGAATCAGCTGGAGAGCTATGACAAGAACAACCTGCTTGTGATCCGTTATGAGTTCACCAAACTCCAGCAGAAACTTGAGGAGTGTAAGAGGTGGCACAATGAGACTTTTAAGCCTGACATTGGTAAGTGCCCTTTTCTGATTTTAAAATTGCTTCCTAGTCTCTGTGGATGCTCTTTTTACTCAGTATTAAACACTTCAGAGAAAATCTATGGCACATTGAACTTAACGATGTTCTTTGTGTATGCCTGATTGTTTTCTGTTTTTTCAGGATCCTGTAAGCATGGGGGCATTAGAAACCTCAGCATGCCATTTATAGTCCAGCTAAACGATCACGACAGTACAAGTTACACATTTGGAGGATGGGGAAGAGACTCCAAGCCTCTGCCTGGCTTTGAGAAGATGTACTGGTATTCTGGATATACCTCCAGCTACATGTACAACCTGTACCTCTACTCCGACTACACTAACCTGGTTTTAGGCAATTCTTTTAAAAGCTTTTATTATAGTGATTCTAACACAAACAGGGGGAATGGGAATAATTATATAATGCACGGAAACTACTTGTACTATAACTGCTACAGTAGCAGAAATATGTGCAGAATGAATGCAACTACTATGACGTCAGAGTCCAGAGTCCTACCTGATGCAGCTTATAACAACAGGTTCTCTTACAGCGCTACTCAGTACCAGGATTTTGACTTTTCAGCTGATGAGAATGGACTGTGGGTGATTTACGCAACGGAAGCGAGTAGGGGTAACATGATGATCGCCAAAATTGATGTAAACGCTTTTGCTGTAGAGCAGACATGGGAAACAAAGATGTTCAAGCGGTCGGTGAGCAATGCCTTCATGGTGTGTGGGGTTCTGTATGCCACCCGACCAATTAACATTAACACGGAGGAGATATTCTATAAATACGACACCAAGACTGGTGTGGAGAGTTATATCAGCATTCCCTTCAATAAGAAATACGAAGAATTTTTAAATCTTCACTACAACCCTATAGATCAAAAACTGTACATGTATAACAATGGCTACTATGTGTTTTACAATGTTAACTTCCAGAAAGTCTGAATGCTGTTTTAAGAGAAGATAAATACATTTCTTTTCTGAAATACAATATTTAGGTGACCACATTGCTGTTTGTATACCCATAAAGAGAAGGCAGCACACATGAATTGTACCTATTGATAGTTATTTAAAAACATACTTACAATGCAACAAAAACCACTGTGTTTATCCGTAAGGGAATAAAAGCAAATATTATTCAAGCATCAAACCCTGTCAGTGTCTGTTTAAATACCTATATAAATAAATAGAATCTCACTGTATATAACATGCAGAACATAATTTTATTCCTCTGGGACATGGGCATGACACTTTGTTAAAGAATTTGTCCAATACTGAGTAAATGTATTAACAAGCCAAGATCACACATGTTAATCACACAAAATCAAATGTTTTAAATTATAAGAACAATTAAAACTCAAACCAGCGAATAAGTGAAAAGGTTATTACTAACTCAAGTGAAATATATTGAACTTGCAAAAACATTCATTGTATTCCCAATAGATGTTATTTTTTCACATGGAAATCATACAATTCACAAGACAAAGTTATTAGTTTCAGGTCACAACTGGACTTTTAGCACAAGCTTCACTAAATGGACACTCTTTATGTAGTGGCTGGTTAATTTTAGTCCTTCACAACAAAAATACAAAATTGTTTTGCTACATTGGGCATGTGTGTCAATGGGTACTCTCCTAAATCCTTTCTGTACTCCAGTTCCCTTTAAGCACAGATTTGCAGAGTAAAATAACATGGGACATGAAGAATGAAGGTAATCAGAAAGAGAAGCAAATGCAAACTTGTTTACCCTTTACTCATTATGCAAAGGACTTCCTTGATCTAAAGGGTGCTTGGAATGTGGAAGAAAGCCCCCAACCACGTTGCTGAAGCAGATATCCTGGCTTCTTTGTAAAAACTGCTGGATCTAAGTATCAGATGGGCTCGGTGAGCTGAAAGGCCTCATTGCTCTTGTTGGCAGCTGTTTTTATTTTCTCACAAGAAAATTAGTGCAGCACGACACCACACAAGTTCTGCTTTCCCTCTGATGTCCTGGTTCTGAGAAAGTGTGCAGTCACTGAAGACAGAAAGAAGAAAAGGGGTCTTGTTCTGGAGCTACTGAACATTGTATATTTTGGTTCTGGCACGCTTTTCATATTTACTGTACACACATTTTTAGACATGCTGATTACTAAGTGCCCTTATGGAACAGTCAGAGAATGAGCTGTCTGTACACAACAGCTCTGTGCACAGGGGCTCTCAGGATGATTTTGCTAGGCAACCCACACAGTGTGTGGGTTGATCAGCTGCCGTTATTATCCTAGGTTGTTTAAGGAATGGGGAAAACACTTAAAAAATCTCCACTTTACACAGTTTGGTGTAGTTTTACGTAATTTACCGATATTGTGTTGCGTGTGATCAACTCTGAAACTAAAGGTCATTTTTGAAAATGATGGGGCTGAAAGAAAATCCTTAAGAAATATGCTAAACTGTCCTTTATGTGTGTTTCAACTTTTTACAAAAGTGTGACCCTGCCTAGTTATTTCATGATACCTACCAGAGATTGCAGCCTGTCTGGAGCTCTTGCATTGCGTCAGAGGGAGAGGGTGCCTGGTATGTTCCTGCCTCACTCAACCATTCCAGGTGACAGCATTGCTTCCCTGCACACATACTGTAGATGTCAATCCAAACCAATTCGAAACAGGAACGAGAAGTGAGTAAAGCAGAAAAATGTTCTTGCAATTGGGGTTTTCATTACATATTCCATAACAAGATAAGACGTTCATTTAAAATGGTGGATTTAGCTTTGTTCAACTTGTTGATGTGTTTTAATTTAAAGACAAGGTGACAAGGTGAAAAAGAGTCTGGCTAATCTAGAGATAGTAGTCTACCCTAACGTCCTGGGGTGGCCAGGACTGAATTCCTCTATTTCAGGGAAAATGCTGATAACTGCTGTTTGTTCTCTCCACCTAGTCGCCTGTAGACGCCTGAAATCTGTAGACACAAACAGGTTATCCAGAGACTGGTGAACCTGACTGTGCTTATTGGGGAGATGAAGAATAATCCTTATATGTGACATATTTGTTAAAAAAAAACAAATGACTAAATCATCTTTGTGGGTCACGCTCAGGAAGAATCAGAAACACAATGGCTGTTTTTCATGAACACAATATATTTTCTTGTCGCTGCAAATTTTTCAAATGATTACCACCAACTCCTGCAGTGCTGTTGCAGTATCGGGTTTCTTGTGCACCATCTGTGTGCTGTTTTTTACGGACTTCTCTTGTGGTCTGTACCGTGTACAGGATGGTGTGGAATACAGCTTCACTGAGACTCCCCTTGTGGGAACCAGATCTCTCTCATTGAAAGAGCCATTTCACTCACAGCAACAGAAGGCCCTGTAGTCTAATACAAAAGGGCCTGACACTCCCTGGTGTCTTTTCTGTATGCTCCAATGTCAGTGAGTGGCTCCAGCTGGTAATGTATAAGAAGTGCTATCAATGCTTAAACGGGTGACATTTCGTACAGCGTATAACTAGCTATACTGTACGTACAGTATAGCTGGAGTGGAAAGTTAGATTTCCACATTCGTCTGTTCACTAGTTTCGATCACAAGGTATTTTTAATACCCCCTTATAAACAAGAAACGAATAAATAAAAGTAGGTCTGCTGGTCGTTTTTCATGCGTTACATATTTATTGCTTAACTAGTTGTGAAACTAAAATTCCTGGATACCACACATTACAACGGTGCTTGCTTTGCAGCTATGAAAAACCCCAAGGTCTGCAACAATGTTTGCAGTATGTGTCATCAGATAAAGCATCACAGTACACGCGTTTTCATGTGAAGCATTTTAGGAAAGTACAATGAAATACCTATTTTAATCTGGATAATTGTTCAAATGAAGGAGGTGTTAAGGAAAATATACGCTACTGCGTCTTTAAGCAGAGCGGTTTTAAATGGGAGGTGTGCACGCTCTTCAGCTAATGCTGGAGGGGTGACATCACCATCGGCCAATAAACCGCAATTGCGAGTCTTCCCCTAGTAATAAGATTTTCTGTGCTCATACAGCTTCCTAATACACTTATGCGCAGATGGTTCTCGTCACGCGTTGCCCATTCAAGGTACAGTAAGCATTTGCCTAAGTTTATTTTTCTTACCATCATTTTCTAGGTGAGTCTAATGCTGAGTACAGTATATTTGGGAGGTTTTATATTTCTGTAGCTGTCTGGAGGTCTGCGTCAAGTCATTCTGGCAGGTTTACATGCTCGTTGTGGGGCATGCTTTTAGTAACGGACACGAGCCTCATGAACAATCTGCCGTCTGCGTTGCATCGCCTTTCCTTTCTTTATTTCTTATTCCGTGAACGGTTTGGCCTGGGATGCTATCGGTTGAAGAGGGTGTGTGAGGGAGCGAGACTGTCTCCGGGCGCTGCAGTGATGCAGATTTTCATCGCCGTGGAGATTCTGGTCTGTTATACTCTGCTGGTCGCGCTTTCTGGCTGCCCGCAGAGTTATGAAATGGCCATTTTCTTTTCACTCATAGATTTCTTTAGCCTATTACTTCATAACTGTGGAGTTACAACGTTAGTGATCAGAGAAACCGTGAACGGCTGCGCTGAACTGGCGGTGTTTCCCCACGCACCATCTCCTTCCTTGTCCCGAATAGAAACTTTAAAAACCAGCCGACAGAAAGTGCTGTGGTAACAAAAATGAAGCTATGGCAGAAAAAGAGTCTGTAATCATAAAAAAAGTTTTATTTTCTGTTTTTGTTTTTCCATTTGATCCTTTCATTCCCTTCTGGGGGAATGGAGAATTATAAAACGGTTCAGGACAAATAAACGTGACATTTCAAGGTAGACTTAATTCTCAGTGGGTTTGACTTGGTTAACCTGCTCTGTGGTTCTTGTGAGGTTTTGATAATTATTTGACAATATGGAAGGAGTAGTTTTTAAAATGGCACATCCTGTTGAATGTTAAATAGTATTTGTGAGATTTGTGGATTTGAAATGAATGAGATCCAGCATGCCTTATGATGTACAGTAAATAGGAAGCCTATATTGCATCTATACATGATGCATCATTTTGTATTGTATGTATAGAGTGTAAAATCATTTTTGCATCTGCACAAAATAAAACGATACTTTAGCACAGCAGTGTGCAGTGAAGGAAGAAGCATGGGGCTGTGGTACAAAGAAAGCCCAGGGATGAGACTAGCAGAGGAGACAACATGCTGTATGACCTGAAATGGACTAGGCCTATTTGAGCGATACACAGATCTCTTTGGCCTAGGTCCTCCAAAACACTTTGTGCTAAGCCTGTTGACTTGTTTGAAGACATACAAGTTCCTGATGGGGCCAGGCTAAGCAGTTTCTCAGCATTTAATGTATGTGGTTAATAAATAATGAAGGTTTGTACTTTGCAATAGCCCTTTAAGTGAATGGTAGCACATGGGCATTATTCTCTGTGCTCTTTGGCCCCTTTTAATTATGAATTATGAGAATTCAGTACAACATTGTTTAACTTTGCTTTTTCTCTGTCACATATTATTTGCCTAGTGATGGTACTTGTCTCTACAGTTTGTATACAGAATAGGAACAGGCTGAAAACTTGCTGTAAAGGATAAAGACTCAACTAGCGACTAGGAACTCCAGAAATGTTTCCTGTTGCTGAAAGGATTTTGGGAAAATAGGTTAGTTCCATTCAGTGCATTTTTCTTAGATGTGAATGCCTACTAACAGTTACATCTCTAAGGCAGAGAGCTGTTATTTGAAGAGAGCAAATGCTTTTGACCATTTTCAGGTTAACATTGTGCCAAAGAGTAACTGTGAGACATTTAAAATAAATTAATAGTGGTTGTACAACTTCAACATTATTTCAAACAATGTAAAATATCATGAACCCTTAAGATAGGTTACCTTTATTGACGATCCTGCATCATGAACGTCGATGAACCAGACTGCTTCTTTTTCTCAGCAGTTGGAAGAATTTCTGTGGCTGTCGTGGGGCTTCGGTGAGAGTGGCGCGAGGATGAGGAGGCAGCAGCAGGCCCTGTCATGACCCTGCCCAGGCCATGCAGACGGGACTGGGGGAAACGCAGCACACCGACCCCCGGGCCCTGGTCTTCCTTCAGGCCCGAGTGTGTCTGGAGCACATCCGCAGCCAGACCAAACCCACCATGGCCAAGAGAGACTACCTGGTGGACGCCGCCAAGCAGATTCGGTTGGCTCTTGACAGAGAGGTCAGCGAGGACTATGAGGCCGCCTTCAACTACTACAAGAATGGGGTGGACCTCTTGCTGAAGGGAGTACAAGGTACAGTAACAGCGCAGAACATTGGACTTCTCAGAGCCTGCAGAGAGCTGAAGAACTGTGCTGTTCAAGGGTTTCCTTCTCTTCTTTATCCAAGAACTTCCAAGACCTTCTTTCACACTGAGATGCTTTCGGTGCCCCTCTACGTCTGCTATAGTAACAATAGTTTAAAAGAAACTATAAAGGCACAAGGGAGATTCTCAGCTAGTCTTTGCAAGTACAGTAATAATCTGCTGTTGTAGAAAAGATGCACATTGCTTTGTAATGCCCCTTCTCTCTCTGGCAGTGCTTTTACTTGTGCAGGGGCGAATGAAATAGAGACGGATCACAATAGGAGCAGGGGATAGTCTTTTGAAGCCCTCATTTCTGACTGCGCTTTATTTTCTCATGTCTCAAGTTAAAATTGCTACAAGATGCACCTCAGATAATGAAGTGGGGGGGCTTTTAAAAATCCTGTTGACACTAGCCTTTAAAAAAGAAACCACATTTGTTCAAGTGTGGCTTGAACCTAGCCACTGGGAAGACTAAGTGATCTATGTTGCTCAGTTTTTTTTTTAATTGTTTATAGTTTATTTTGCAGTACTTCCACATTCTGAATTATCTAGCAGAAGTAATGACTCTGAATGAAAAGAGGGAAGTGTTTTTATTTGCTTCAAAAGAAGAAAGAAGTTATTAAAAAGAAGAAATGAAGTGTATTGTGTCAGAATCTAGTCTGCTCTGGTATTGTTTTTACTGTGGCAGGGTTGAGTAACAAACGGTCAGTGAAAACATAGTCAGGCTGAGGCCAGAAACATTTCTTAACGTAATACATGACAGGACACATTCTGGCATCACTTCTGTGAGCTCTATCATTTTTGTCACTCATGGAGAAGTGAATTTCTCAGACTGCTGCAGGTAAAAGATGTTGGATGACCCACAGACTATTGAAGGAGTCTGCTGTGGGGGGGGGGTGGATGTGTTTTTACTGGTTTGTCTTATTATTGCAGTTGACCCAAACAAGGAGCGCAGGGAAGCAGTTAAACGGAAAACCACTCAGTACCTGAAAAGGGCTGAGGAGATCTTCATCTCCCACTTGCAAGGCAGCCTGGGAAGTGTATCCTCCAAGTCTGAGGTACAGTCCAAGGAGGGGCGGGGCCTGGTGACACACCCACAGAAGGGGTGTGTCCGCAGGCTAGAATAAGGAAGGAAAGGCATTGTCTCAGGCAGACTAGATGGATTTACACGTGACCATTTTTTGTCTCCTCCCAGCTTCCTCCTCTTTGTGAAAATGTGCTGGACATGTAAACCACAAACCTGTGTTGCCTGATCCTCTCCCAAACATTACATCAAAAATATCCTGCATGTTAAGAAATTGTAGTAGCTAGGCGTGTCAGACAAGTCCTAGCAATGCATGATATGCTTTTCTCATCTGTCCGTGGCGCAAACATCACTGCCTTTTTGGTAAATCTTGAGTCATTTATCTGGTTCTCATACCCATCTTCTCTGTCTCAGGCTCACTGTCAGATTTCAGTATAGCAATTGTAATAGCTCTTCATTTTACTTTTAGCGGAGAAGTAGAGCAGCACAAGTAGAGACTGTAAACTTTGTAAAGGACCTTTAGGTCTGGGTAGCTTCTCTGTTTATTTATTAAATTGTAGTGTGTGTGGAACAAAGGTCAGTTAGCCTTATACTAACTGAATTCTGGACAGTCAGTGTGACTGTCCTTATAGTCCCTTATAGTCAGTGAGCCAAGTAGTTCCTCTTCCATCATTAAACACCTTTCTTCTTGAATCCATAGGGTTACAGTAGCTTGAGATTCCGGCCAGTCAGAGTCCTCAGCTCACCTGTGGAGGACCTGAAGATGTGCAAGGTCATTGGTGTCATTGACAAGGTAAATGAATCAATCAAATTGGTCTTCAATATGCTGCGCCTTTAAAAATGTAAAATTCAGGTCTCTGATTACAGCAGTTTCAAATAACTTTGGTCTTGCAAAACTATGAAGACGGAGCCACAAGATAAACCTGTTTTGTTGGTGGTATGTCTCTACAAGGCAGACAGTCTAGCTCATTGTGCTTGTCAGGATCAGAATAACATTTTCACTTCTGTTGTATTCAGGTGAGACTTTCTTTTTAAGAATTGTGGTGAGGGATGGGGAAGTTCACTTTAAGAAAAGTAAGCACAATATCAGCAGAAACCAAATGGAAACTAAGAAAGGTGTTAGCTGTAGGTGAAATTCCACCTACCACCTTTCAACCACTTTACAGACTTGAGCCTTTATCTAGCGATTGCATGGACCTTTGCCTTTAGTTCTGGGCTATCTGTTGAAGAATGGAAGGCGTGTATAAAATTGACATTCTGAATACAATTTCCAGATAGCAGGTGATGCGGAACTGGATTTGATGTCATGTGAGAAAAAGCACAGGAAACACCTGCTATCAAGGAGGGTTTTACTGTTGCCAGTTATGGTGAAACAAAAGAGGAAGCTGTAAATCTTTCTCATTCTCTTGTGCTAAATCACATGATATTCAGATATGTTCTGTAACAACCCTAAGCAACCCATCTTATTGTACATGGAGTTTATAATTAAAATCCATAGGTATAACACCAGTTCTTAGTTAATTGATATAAACATTACAATCTTATGAATTGCTGATATGAAACAATTACAATTTACGTCTTGAAACTTGAATACATTTGATCTCTTTTGTATTGTAGGTCCTTACTGTCCAGAATTCTATCACCAAGGAGACGTTTGTTGTTAAAGTAAGTATTAAATGCTTCTGTATTTTTTATTTTATTTTGTTTACAGCTTGAACAATATGCCCAGATACCAGAGAGAACATACAGGTACAGATGGTAACTTTGAATCAACCTCAATGATACCTAGACTGGTCACTGAGTATCTTCAGTAATGGATTCAGCTAAAAGGTTGTACTGTACCTTTCGTCAGAGGCAATAGAACCAGATGTGCTACCTATCTGTTCAGAAAGGCAAGATTCTGTTTGCTGTTTGAAACAGAATTTGGTGTTTAGATTTTATTTCCCTATTTAGGATGCAAATTTATATTATTCTGTATGCATAAAACATAATGTTCATTTTGAGGTTTCAATAGGAACTCTCGAGCGTCGACACTAGATTTAATTCCATGTTGAGCTGAATTTGTCAATTTAATATTGTTCTGAGAAACTGAGCTAAAGTTTTTTTTTCTAATTTGTTCCTGTCACTCTGATTTACAAGGACAAAAGCAGAAGTTGTAATTTTTTGTTTTCCACAGAGCCTGCCAAAGTCCAGCTGGGATGGTCATGAGCAGCAGACTATAATTCCGCAGGGAGTGCCTTTCATGGTGCAGCTACTGAGGTACTACGTCAGTGAAGATGCCGTGTTTCTGCACCTGGAGCACGTTCAAGGTGAGGTGACTCTCTGAAGTCCACCAGTGTTATTAGTTTCACTGTCCGAGCAGGAACAGGGGGCTTCAGGAGCATCAAGCCAGGGCTGCTCTTAAGACCATTTGTAGAGATGTTTTCTGTGCAGACATTTTCTTACTGAGCCATTATTTACAGTACATAAATCGTGAATAGAAGTGGATGTTCCTTGGTGGATGTGCAGCCTGGCATACTGAGGACTAGTACATTTTTGTTAATAGCTTTAAACTATTTGTCACATTTCATTCTTATTATGAATATAATGACTGTTACAATTAAGAGCGGCCCATTTGTTAGTTAGTAACTAATTAATCCAAGGAAATTATCCAGCCAGTTCTTGAATGTAAGCAGGGTATTGATTTCCACAATATGGCTGGGTAGCTTGTTCCAAACTATTTGTGTAAAAGTTCCTCCTGTTCTCTGCTTTAAATGCATGTTCACATGGTTTTTTTAAAAAGATTCTTGTTGCCGCCCCTTTTCCCAGGAGGAAGACTTTTCTCTAAGCTTCACAAACGCAGAAAGGACAGTGTTAAGGAGCACCCAGAGTGCTGCAGTCCCACACACAGGAAGATTAAGTTGAAAAACAGTTACACCTCTCCTACTTTGAGCCTGGACTATGATGAAAGAAGCAGATGCACCACAAAGACTGCGTTCTTCACAGAGGACTCTTCACACCCAGATAGCTCTGACACAGAATCTCCAGCCTCCTGGGCAGAAGCACGTCACCATCTGGAGACCTTTAACACACACTCCTACTCGGAGGACACTGGCTGTTTGCTCACATTCAGAAAAGACCAGGTCTGTCGTTGTGCAGATCCTCAGCGCTCAGATTCCTGGGGTTGTTCAGGATGCAACTCTGGAGAAATGCTGAGTGCTTCATCAGGTGACTTCCCACAGGAACCTCAGAGCCCATGTCCTCCTCATTGCGAATCTCAGGAAACCTCTGCTCTCCTGCCTGACTGCCCTTGTCAGTACACAAGAGAGAGTCCTAATAGCGCGTCTGATGTTTCACCAAAGACTATGATAAATGCTGATTCTGCTGCCGAAGCCAGTGTCACATGGTGTGCTGCTGCTGCTCGCTCCAAGGACTGTAAAAAGTCTGCACCTTGTTTTGCACCGAGTATAGTTCCAGGAGGGAAGGGAGACACTGGAGTACCTCAAGCAAATGAATATTCTGTGGAGGGTTCAGATTGTAAGACTGAATCCAGGGTGAAGGAGACTGTGAGTCAGGGCATTAGTCTACAGTCGAAGGACATTGAGGCTGTCCCCACAAATCTGCAGTTTACTTCCTATGACCAAAGCCAAGACGATGGCACTCGGAAAGAGTGCTGTTGCGCTCCGGCCACTGGAGGCGCTTGTAAGCAGTGTGGCAGAAAGAAGAGTGATGGAATACCCAGCCTGGAGCTCTTCCCTGTACAGAGCAGAGGGGTCATGCAGCCAGGGTTGCAAACTGGAGGGAGCAGTGAAGTCAGTAAGGGAATGGAGGTGTCGCAGTCATTCAGATCTGCTTGCTCCTCTGCTTGTCCATTAAAGGTAGTGGCAGGACTTACCTCAGGGAATGCCCTTAAACGCATGACTGGTCTAGCTCAAAGCCCAAATGCTGCCGACCAGTGTGACCTCCTTACTGCACTTAAGCCAGAGAGTTGTGGGGAGAATGACCCAACGCTGATGTCCAGCAGGAACATGGGACAGGGGGAGGAAGACGAAGGGTGGGAGCTACTGAACACAGTGACTGGGGATCTTCCTCAGAACGAGGAGGCGGGACTGTCCAACTCAGGTGACTCCAAAGCTGTGTCGCAATGTTTCAGCAGCAGAAAAGACTGCCAGGGGTTGGTGCCCTCCTCTGATGTGCACATTGAGGTGGATGGCTGGTGTCTGCTGCCCAAGGTGCCCTCCAGACAAGCCACTAACAAGCCCAGACAGGCCTGCTGGGGCCTCCCGGAGGATAAGGTGCGCTTGTGGGTGGCCCAGATTGTGCTGGCTGTGGAGAGCCTTCATCAGCAGGGCATCCTGTGCCGGGACCTCAACCCGAGGAACATCCTGTTAGACAGCACGGGTCAGTGAGTCTGGCGTGGTTTTCAATGCCCTGTGATATTCCCTCACTTAGTCGCCCGTCACTGTCCTGAAATGTTTAAACAGGACTCTAATTTTACCGTTGATCCACTGCGGGTAAAAGCGATTGTTTTTTTTATGTGATGAAAACACACTTGTGACTGGCAGTTTAAGGGTAAAGGCGATTAAAATGAGAAATCAGTACAGGCTTTAGTGGTAAGAGGAGCGTTCAAGTAGTACCTGAATCTTGAGGGCTTAAATGAATATCAGTTTAATCAAATCATTTAATTCCCATGTCATCTGTGACGTAGAATTATGAAACATCCTAATTTGTGTATGCCAGGGCTCTCACCTCATAATATGAAAATCAGAAATCCCTACCTTGTTCTGGAGTATTAGTGTCATGTAATTTTAAAAGAGCCAGCTGACCGGTGTGAAATTTGTCTCTTGAACAGGAAAGGTCCGCCTGACCTACTTTGGCCAGTGGAGTGAAGTTCAGCCTCAGATGAGCACCAAAGCAGTGGAGTACATGTACTGTGCACCAGGTAAAGTAGTCCTTTCTGGAGAGCCTCATGTGTTTTAAAGAGGAGCCTTTTGACAGATGCAGGCTAATTAAAAACCTTGATTGATCATTCACATAAAAGCAGCACCCTCTAGTGCCCACAGTTGTAGTTTACAGCATGGTTTAATTATTTTTAATGGAGGGAAGGGAGTTAAAAATCACTTTAATCACATTTCCATATAAAAAGTGTATTGAATATTCTGACAAAATAGCTCCACCAATGAAATATACTTAATCAATTCCCTATACAGTATATATATATTTATGCATCATAGAATTGCACAAATTCTTGAATGTCTAAAAACAGTTCAGTACTGTATATACAGTAAGTCAAGTTTAAATGTTTTTCGCTGGCAGAGGTGGGAGGCGTTTCTGAAGTTACAGAAGCCTGTGACTGGTGGAGTTTGGGGGCTTTGCTGTACGAACTTCTCACTGGAATGGTGACACATTTATTAACTTACTCCTTTTCCAGAACATCTGTTAACACTCATCTGTCTGTTTTATTGGATGTTGAACCTCACAGTAGAACAAATAAAATTAAATTAAAAAAACATGATTTTCTAATCAATAAAATACTACCTTTTCTATCTAGTTAATTATTAATACTGTAATCAAGTTTATTTTAACAATGAATTACCCATTAATTGCTTGGGTGTAAATAATTTCTTTCCAAACTGACACACATTTAAAAACCAAAGTTCTGACTCAGAAGTAGTGTTGATGGAGCTTCCCTTTCTTTGGACTCCTAGCAGTCTATTTCCTTCTTCCTCTTCATATCTGTTCACGTCAAACTCCGTTGTTTCAGCCTCAGTACCTTCCCAAGAGGCTCTGTGTTTACAACCCCCTCTCTTCTGCCCCCAGCCCCTTCGGCAGTTCCACCCCTCTGGAGTCCTCCCTCACACCCAGCTCATCATTCCCGACCACATCAGTATGGCGGCTGCCTCCCTGCTCACTGAGGTTAGGCCGCTGCGATTGAGCAGCTCTGTAGCCTGACCATTGAGATTGACATTGCAGGTCTGTTTTCCAGCCTTTTAATCAGTCTTTTACAGACTACAGCAAGTACAGTATGCTTGCAAGGTCAGCTGGAATGGTGCAAAGTTCAAGATAGATAAGATTTTGTGAAGTATTTCCGTAATTTATGTGATTATGGACGCATGCAGGCAAAAGCCTGCCATGTGTGTTTGAACACCACTCTGTGGAGATGGTGAACTAACTCGTCTCTTGTCCTCGTCTCTCAGCTCCTGCAGTTCGATGCTGGTTACCGTTTGGGCTCCGGAGGAGGTGGAGTGAGCGATATCAAGTGTCACCCATTTTTTGGCACCGTTCCCTGGCACAAGCTGAGCAGTTAGGAGCCCGACGCCCTGATTGCAGAGCTTACTAGCACAACTGAAATGGAAGAAAAAGGGGCGAACCCAGACAGCCTCTGAGAGACAGAAACCAGTGAAGCCCTGACTGGCTTGTAAGAACCATCACTTGAACTAAAACGAACAGGTCCCAAGCTGAATGAGGGATGGGGAAAACTAACTCATACCCAATGTTAAGACTATCATTTGAATGAGGATGTGCATGTAATATGTAGGAACTGGAGGCTATGTTTTAGTCAATGTAGTGCTGCATTGACTTTCTCAACATAGTTTGATGTCATACAATATGCAGATTTAGCGATGATTGTCTTTTTGGGTGCAGAGAATCGGAGAGGTGCTCAGCAAAGATGAGCTACAGTTCCTTTTTAAACCTATAAATGTATACCACAATTTTGCATTCGGAAAATAAGTGATTGCAAGAAAAGGTTAACTGTGGTCTTTAAATAAAACCTCTCTAATGGGTGTGAACATTTAAACTTAACCCAAGTTCCTGTCACGAGTCACAACTGTAACATTAACTAGATCATGGCCATGGCATTCCGGGATTTTTTTCAGGAATCCATTTTGTCACAAGGACAGGTCATTGACTTTTCTCAGCATGCAGCAACAAAGAGATTAGGATGCCTTTAAAGAAGTTTAAACAAAGTTGTTTTTGTTCTTTCAGAGAACTGATTTTACCTGGCAGATCTTAACTATGAGCATTTGTATCACTTCATAAGTTATTAAAGCGAATGAAACTTTACTTATTAGCTGTCTTTTTTTTTTAAAGTTTTAAAGACGCAGTTTATAGGTTTCTTTAAATCCTCACCCCTAACTATGTACAGTACCTGGTGATTCTGACTAGAAAATTAACTCGAACTAATTTACTATTTAAGTCTTCAGGCAACAATCAGAATCCCCTGCTGAGAAGGACCATGCTCACTGTTAGGGTGCTTTGCATATGATACATGGTCATATAAGACTGGCCCTGAAGGCTATGGTTGTATTCCCACGATCTATGTGTAGCAGATGAAGCAAATAAGAAGGGTAAGAAAAATGATTCTTTAAAGTACACCTTGACAAATTCTTCCCAAATACATTATTGCTTTAGGATTGTCAATCCTAACGCCTAAGGAAAGTGCTTTTCTAACAAAAAATATAAAATAAAAACCTAATGATAATGCTTGAGATTAATATTTTAAGCTTTTACAAAATATTATTTGATTTTAAAAAATCAATGTTATCTTTAACCTTTCCCTGAAATCGGCTTTGTTGTGCTTCTGATTCACTTAATTGCAAATCTTATTTATATTCCTTCTGTTTGATGTCACAGCTGTTCACTTTCATCTGAAATGGGGAATAAAACAGTCATTCATTAATGAGTGCTTTTTTATTCCTTTATATTTTCTATTTACTGTTGTTTTCCGGAAAAAAAAAAAAAACAGGGACATGCAGTCACAAGAGGACAGTGGAGGCAGAAGAGAAATAGCCTTTTGGACTGCTGAACTTGCCGTCAGGGGTATTTTTATAGGATCTACAAGCAAAAAAGGTTATTGAACAATACTTTAGTTACCACAGATAAAGGAGGACTGGTTATAATGTTATAAAAACTGCAATTCCAAGAATGTGAACAGCTACTGGAAGTCTAATTTAGTTGTCCACAGACATAGACCTGTAAGCAATCAACAAATTTAAGGGAAAATCTGCACATTTTATTTTTCTTACAATATGAGCACTTCATTGATATTTACTCTGTAGTCATGGCAATGACATCATTGGTGATGACCGTACCGTAAAACTTAATTAGATTTTACTGCGATTTGTCTACCTTTGTGTAAAAGGTATAGCCAACAAATGTTCTACATTCTATAAATCTGTTAATCATTTTAGATAAATAAAAATCCTTACAAATAGAAAAGCTCAGTGAAGATGCTACTGAATGTTCCATTTTCTTTTAATTTAGAATCACTGATTATTTTTGTTGTGCTACATCGATTTGGAATAGCCATTTGTGTGTTGTTCACTTCTGGGCCAAGTATTTCCACTCTTCCCTCCCCATGGCAGTGTTCAGACATTTGTGCGCCACCTAGTGGGGAATCCTGGTCATAGGTAGTAGCATGACATGAGCTCGAACCCGTGATTGGAGAGCTCAATCTGTACTGGGGACAGGCCAACAAAAGCCATGAGAAATGCTAAACAACTTCAGAAGTTTTTTTACTACTTAACCACTGGTTATGAGCATATCTTTAAGCACAGCTCAGGGCTTAAGGCTGTTTTCCGAAGCCTGTAGGAGTTTGGAGGGCTGTTTTATCAATCACAGTCCTGCACGTTTGTCCCTGGCTAGTGTGTGCTGAGGGTCCAGTTGTCCAAACATTATTTTTTTGTTCAGATTTGACCTCTATTGGTGTCACACCCAGTTTGTAACTTTCTGACAACAGGCAGTAGCTGGCAATAACTGCACTTATAGACATACAGGCCCATTAGGCTTGCCTGCTGTACATAACTCATTCACAATCAGAGTGTAAATCTGTTCATATTGGAAATGGTTGCAGAGGATTGTGTATTATATTAATAACTAACCTTAAGGTTTATTATTGCAGATCCAGTGAGTTGATTCCATCACCGACCATCCCATTACAGATTCTTAAAGTAGTATTTAGTGTTAAAAAAGTTTGACTAATATGTGCATAAAAAGCAAATATTTAACAGTCCTTACTGCCTTGAGCATAGAAACAAAAACTACTGGCAATAAAGTATTTGCTTTTACAGAAAATCAGAAGTGTTAATACTAAGGAACTCAAACTAGAGAGCATTTTTTGGTGATTTCGTAACAGCCAGTTTTATATTTTTTGCAAAGGCAAAAACAATGATGGAATAATTTAGGGAAATCATCTCTCTGAAGTGGGTAACGTAAACAAATTGCCATCTCTTATAAACTGTCCATTTTATATTGCTTAGCTTTCATCTATCAGAATACAAAGACTAAAAGGTTGACTATCTTGTTCAGAGGCCTGATTTGATATTCTCATCTTGTGCCAAGTTTTTAAAGAAAACTGCATTTGAAAAAACAAGGATACAGATATCTGCGCACCTTATAAAAATAATCTCTTTCTTGCTAATGGAATCTTGAGTGGCAATAAAAAAAACCCTGAATGTCATTGTTTGAGCTATTTATCTATATTATAGCTTCGTCTATTCTTATGGTAATCTAATGTGCATGTTTTTTGTGTGTATAATGAATTCAGTGTTTTTCTCCAGATTGCATTGTTTGGGCATTTGTGTGGGCTCTGGCAATGAAACAAAGATGCCTATTAGAAGCTATTGTGCTTTGCGATTATTAAAGTAAACGAAGTATTAGAGGGTCCCCAATGCAGCTGTGTACACTTGACCCTCCATTATTAAAAGGTGGAGGCATAAGCAGTCTAAAGACTGTCAGAGGTGATCTCATTATTTGGATTCTTAAGTGTAGAGGCTAAATGAGCGCACAGCCCTTGGATGTGCACATGTGGTTTAAGCTTACTGTTTGATACAATCTGTGCAAGACTCAATGACCGCATTTACATTAAGGATTCTAAAAAAAAAAAATGCAAATACGATAAAAATTCCCAATTTTATCTTACCTTCTTTTGCTGCTCTCTATCATACGGCTTTTAATTGAAAATGAAATATCCTTTCAAATATGAACATGGCTTTTTAAGGTAGTCTACTAGTATGCTAGTAAAGGCTGAAATGTGGGCTGCTTGTCTGGCACTCGAGAGAGAATAATGTTACTAGATGAATGGATGAAAAAGGAGAAACTGAAACTCTTTAAGGACTTTCCTATCTGGAAGTTGCAGTGATAATGCTGTCTGATCGTACTGTAACAGCATGCCTAGTGTGAGCACTTGCCATTTCCGTCCTTCTATATTTGACTTTATAGTGCAGCTAAGGGTTTACACACCCTAATAACCACATCCTCTTCGGTCTCGACTTAAGATGCAGGAATATAATTAATGTTTATTTTAAAACTTTAGGGATTTTACAAACAGTGGCATTCAAGTGTCAAAACTGAATATCTTAAAACCTTTGTCATGGTTTAATACAGTATGGTTATGATTTACCAAAATTTTGAGGTTCTTGTTTATCCCTTGCTTCTTTTACATTACCACAACAGTTTAGTGGTGACAGACAGACGTTTTGACACTACAGAACATCTTATAAGGCAGACCTTATTTCCATTACCATTTATAGCAATGTTCCCATTTTAGAAAAGAATCCTCTGTACTACTCAAATTTACACAAGCAAACATATAACATAAAATGAGTAGTTGTGCGGTCTTTTGAAAATTTAAAACAATTCTGTTGCTGATGTGTGTATCAAATAAGTAAAACCTAGAACACAAAACATTTTAAAGTCAATATGTACCACCAAAACACTATAGGGGTTTTGTTTTTTAATGTTTAAAACCATTTTCCTTCCTACATGTTCGGTATACAGCAGACGTAAAATCAGTTCCCAGGGTTATCAATGAAGCAGACCTCTAGTTTCTGCGAAACATGTATGGCTACCTTATGCATTTCAGATATCAATGCCACCGATTCCTGAAAATGCTGCACTAAAGCTGTCTTATACCATCACAGAACAAGAGCAGGTGGATTTTCAGCTTTCATTTTGTCATCACAGAAATCATTTTTTACAGCTATTATTCAGTGCATTTTTTTTCTCCAAAAAGACAAACCTCCCAAGGTATCCATTTGTAACTTGTTGTACTACTTACATTACAACAAATTAACATCTATTTGCATTTCTTAGTGTGAAAGGACGCAAGCATATTGCAAGAAAAATAAACACCTCTACATTATTTTACTGTCTGCACTAAAAGAAACCTGATCCATTGAAAACCCAGACTGTGATACATTAAGTAAAAATATTGTTTTACTCTTTGATCTCATGCAGAATTCCAAACCACCTTTCTCCTTCCAAGGGTAAACTACAAGATTACACCTTTTTCTTTTTTGTACAATATAATAATTAAACATGTAGTAATAACCATGGAGTATATAACCACTGCTTGTGTTAAGGGAGGCTGTCTTAAATAGAATTCCTGTGTTTTATTGGTCAAAGGTCACAGGTCACAGGTCAAGCAGGAGCACTCGGGGGTCCTCCACCACTGACTTGATTTTGCGCAAGAAAGTCACCGCCTCTCTTCCATCGATGAGACGGTGGTCATACGTCAGAGCGACATACATCATGGGCCGAATTTCAACCTAGAACGTGCAAACATTACTGTGATGAGCTCAGTTTCAAGAACACAAAAATGCTCAAAAATCTCAACAAAAAACGTACAAAACATTTTTAACAGTAACACACCTTCCCTCCAATTGCGACAGGCCTGTCAAAAATTCCATGCATGCCCAGGATAGCGGACTGTGGAGGGTTAATGATGGGCGTTCCAAACAATGACCCAAAAACACCTCCATTGCTGATAGTGAAGGTCCCACCATCCATGTCTTCCACTGCCAATTCATTCTTGCGAGCCTAGAAACATCAAAACACAAGATGCTTTTCCCATCACTAGTTCTGCTACTTCTGAAACATACTACAGACTGATAACAAAAATTAAATTAAAAGTTCTAATGGTTTCCTCATATGATTATCAACTACCATGTTAACAAATCATGAGAAATGCTTTAAAAATAGTCACCTGCTTCTACTACCCTACACACACACACCCCATCAAAGCTAATGGCACAATATATCCTGACATGGTTTAGGACAAAAATGGCAAAATAAAAACAAATGCTATTAGTTTACTTACAAACAGAAAAAAAGCCTAATAAAGAGGAAAATATTCATTTTCAAACATTAACGGGCAAATTGGTCATCTACCAGGAAAGCCCGTAATTCAGAGTTGAATAAGTGGGCTCTCATGGTCAGGTCTGGTGTGCGTGTGCAATTCATCTGCAGGAACTCTACTCAGCTACTCTCAACCCCTTTCCTCCTAGGTGTCTGGCAGCAGCCTTTACCTCCAACTTGCCCAAAGACCGCAGGCTTCTGTCTATTTTAAGTGTGATTGGCAACTCAGAGGCCCACCGGTTAAAATCACGAGACTGCATGAATTTACAGTTCACTCGATTGTTGTGCTTGCAGTTGGCTAAGGAACAAGGTACCAAAACTAGAAAAAGTCCAGCTTTCCATACGACTGGCTCGTGCTATCTGTGCAAAGCTAAAATAAAATTTGCTAAAGATTCCAAGTCTAAAAGCAAGTTATTTTGTGCTTTCTTTCGACACACCTAGATTGAGCCCAGAAAATACAAAATCACATTATCTTCTGATTCCAGAACAGACATTTAGCTTGGCAAAAGCTTATTATGAAGAATGATTTTTTACATTATAAAAATCTCCACAATAACGATCATGGATTATTGATTGCTTTTGTCAAATTACACACTCCTTTATTTCAGCAGGAGTAGAAAGACCATACCTTTTCTCCAAGCTCATTTATGGTTCTCTCAATGTCAGCAAAGTTCATTGTCTCAACTCCTCGGATCACTGGAACCACAAGCCCCTGACATCACAAAACACAATATTTCAAACTTTACAACACATCAACAGATCCAGATGACTGAAACCTTTGCCTTAAAGATAAAAAATGTCATGTCATTAGGTTCTGTAAAAAAGTTTTATAATTAACAAGTATGTTTCAAACTAGACCATCTGTATAATTAAATATATATAGTGAAGAAATACCAACATTAATTTACCTTTGGTGTTGCCACAGCCACACTGATATCGACATAATCCCTGTATACAATTTCTTTGGTTGTATCATCAATGACTGAAAAAGAGAAATTAACCATTTTAATTTTATTACTGAATCCAAAAGGTATATTACATTTTCTGCAGATTACATGTTCAAAATGTATTTCTAACTTTAAGACCATAGCATGCCGATTTTACTGACAATAAGTCTTGCATGTACAGACTGTACACAATGTCAAGTCTTTACAGATTTTAATAAGCTTTATATTTCTTTGAATTTCTACTAGAAGCATTTACAAACTCAATTAAAAATAATATTTGAACACATTTCTATGTACTCACTTCTAACTATATATCAATACTTCTTTACTAACCTAAAGCTAAATGACACATTTTAAAAAACCCACAAATGGCAAATTCTAGACAAATAAACCACAGGTATGATATACAGACACTTTTAGATACATGGAGGTTAGCTATGAAGATGAAACTTGTCAACCTGTTCTGTGGGCTCTCTAAATAGGACGGAGTAGCTAGGAGCAGTGCAAATGACGCTTTATGAAGGTTTATGTGGCTTATTCATAAAAAAAACCTTGCATTTAGACTCTTCAGAAGTGAAAGCATAAAATTCAGTCAAACCTCTAAACCACAGGAACACTTGCCATGTATCAAACTAAAAATTCAAAATCTTAGACGAAATAAGAAGGTACTAAGAAAATAACTGTTTTAAATTATTATTCGGCAGCATCCCAGAGCAGCTTGCTTTACAGTACACCTCAGGTAAAACTGCAGACAAATCCATCTTACCAGCATTAACAGCAGGTTGATCAGCTAAAGCATGTGCAGCCGCTTTCACAAATGCAGACATGAAACCAAGCTTATTGCCGTGTTTTTTCAGGAAAGAATCTTTGTGTTGTTTTCTCATTTCCTGGATGTTACTGTGGAGAAGAGGATTGTGAGACCCACCTGGAGGAACTCAAGGAGCTCATGAAAACAGTTCCAACAAAACCAGATGTTAGACCAGTAATAAACATCTGTTATCATTAATAAGGCTAGAACAAGTGAGGTTTTAAACCATAAACATTTCTATCAGAATTCACATTACATGAAACATGCATCATTCTGGCTATTGATATAGTAGAACTTTTTGATTTACAATAAATTAACCAAGCAAAGACCTTTGGACTAAACACTGCATTAAGATTATCGAATGCAGACTATTCCTGTTAAGTAGACATTCATTTTTCTTTGGTATGATAAAACAGACCCTTTTATCAGTGTTTATGCTGTTTTTAATTGTTTGTTTTCCTGTCTATAACCTTATTTAAATTCTAGGATTACTCCGCTAACGGCATTATCCCCTCCCAAGACACAAGCTCTCCGAGAAAGAAGAGAAGAAGCGATAAAAATCTTCACTTTTAAAAACCATCCAAATCTTATTGCCTTGTCATAAAAGCCTATTCTATTTCAGCCTCTCTTCCACTCATCACGTTATTCTCATGAGGGAGTTTTCAGATGTTCTGGCCTCCTAACCTGTCTCCTTCCTTAGTCTCCAGAATAACACAATCCTTGGGAGTCTTTCTGCATCCCATCAATAGGAATTCAATTATAACACATAGCAAACCCCAAATAGCTGTAAGATGACACCTTCATTAGCTTTTGAAAGAAATGGTCAAAGTGTTTTCTCCTACACTGGAAAAAAATGTAACATTTCCACATAAATTAATAAAGCTTGTTTTACCAGTCTTATCTTTGTTTTACTGACATTATGTACAAATATTTACATTCAATGTTAAAGAAGGTATTAAATTCCACTGAGCTGTTCCTATTGATCTAAACTAAATCCATAAATACTTATTAAAGTATTGCTCCATATCTATTTATACTATAGTTTCTTAATGTCTTTCAAGCCATTAAATATTTGATCAGAAAAGTGGAAAAGGGAATAAATTCAGATTTATTCCTTTCTGCTGCATTTAGCATTTGTGTAATCTTCCACACCCAAAATTCTCCATCAAACATCAACTTTAGAAAAGATTGGGTACTGTGATTAATACAGATTAATTTCACAGACATAAGAAAATAAGGGTTTTTCCTTAAATTACCAAACTGCAGACCGCAAACTTCGCAAATTAGATATTGGGAGTTACTGAGAATACAAAACTGAGTGTTATTTTTTAGTTCCTTCTGTCATATCTTTGATATATACGACTCATAATGTAAAGATAAGTGAATGGTCCCTTGAGAAGCCCTCTGTTTGCTGATATGTCTCACCTCATATCAATCTCATTAAAAGTGGTCAGCATGGCACAGGTGTTTTGTGCTTCCTTCAGCCTTTGAGCAATCCTCAATCGCATACGGTTCATTTTTACCTGTTTTTATAGAAGAAATAAAACACCTTACAATACCATTACAAACACAAAAAAGGAGTAAAGCAAATTCTGATAGTTCTTCTCTTGAGCTTTCAAAGGTAGTAACATTATAAAACCTCAATAGTTTAAAACATTTTCAACACTTCTGATTATACTTAACATTTACAGGTCCTCTATCTAAAGATATCGAACCGCCTTTTGCATCTTTAAAAATAGGTACCCCAAACTAAGTAACTTGATTTGAAGTGTCCAAACTCGCCAAAACGGATGTACATAAGACAGCTTTATATACACTGATCTATCTTAAAAGTTTAAAAAACCAAACTAACCTCACAAGCACATTGAAATAAAGCAAAAATTAAATACGATGCCCTTCTACCAACTAATTTTCCAGGAAGTACAGGACAAGTCCTTCAAAACCAAGAAATCATTTTATAAACCTGAGGTACTGTGGTTAGTTTCTGAAAATTGCTTGTGGCAAACACACACATATCAAAGACACGCAAGCAAGCAAGGGCAGACTGGATCTGAAGAAAATCTAGATAAAGCAGCTCTCATCGGATACTACAGTTCAGTTTTTGCTTTGTTCTTATTTTTGAGATAGTTGTACCCCAAACTGAACCTATACAATACCTTCACAGAAAGCGGATTTAAGAAGAAATGTAGCTCAGTTTAAAAATGCCTAGTAAAGAAGAACAGAAAGCTCAACATTCTCAGTATAAAATACAAATCAGTACTTTTCTCTTTGCTAATAAAACTGTGAAAACTATTTCAATGTTTATGTAACACCTTTTCAAAGGCTTCAAGGCTTTTTCAACTTTATGGATGATGCTATTGATTCAAAAACCTACAGTGCCTTATGAAGTATGAAACATGAAAGAACTTAGGGTTATTAATTATGTAAGATTTTTAAGACTTAACAATCATTAAATAAAAACATTTAAAGCAATACTTTTATACATTCTGTGCAATGTTCTTCCCTGTTTAGGGACGTGGAAATGGTTATAAATAAAATAGAAGGCCATTCCCTAGTTAGGCTGACAGTTCTGCACAGGTGCTGCTTCTACTCATTTGTCTGACAACACTGCAGTAGATTCTTACCCTGTGCTCTGACCTGGACCCTTTTGCTGTGCTTTCTGCAGAGGCAAATGGAATGGATGGTGCTGCTGTAGGTTTAATGGCACCAACTGGAATGTAAAGAAAACAATTTTCTTGATTTCTTCAACGTCATTTTCATGGATTGCTGAAAGATATACTAGTCCGATCAAATAGGTTAAGGTATGTTGGTATCGTTTAGTATAAGCCTATTATAGTTGTGTTAATTGTAACAAAGCAGTGTTACAAGTATTAATGTAGCAAATATATTTATATATCCATGCAGGTACACATACATGTGTATATACTGTAGCAAATACCAAATATCACACTCTTGTATTTGTAATAGATGTATTAAATAATTACTGATTTTGATTGCTGTAAATACATAAAAAAAGCTGTACAGTTATGATTTTCAAGACCTGATAGTTAATAAATATGCTTTGATATTCAATATGACTTTGATTTCCTAAACAAAGTCTCCGTGAAGAATACATGCTGCTATGACTGAGCAGAGCAGAAGAAGTGTCTTACCAGGTTTCATGTCAATGGCCTGTCCTGGCACAGGGGGGACAGGGGGCATGCTGGTGGGGATTGGTCCCACAGAAGGATGAGGGGGTGAAGGAGGTGCTGCTGTGACTGGCGCTTCTGCTTTTGGCTGTGGGGCATCAGCAGGCTTGGCTTTGGCAGCGCCAGCTGGTGAAACAAATTGTCAGTAATCTGTGATACAGTGCAATGCAACATTTTCCGCTTTATATGAAAAGACAAATTTCAGCTCAAGCTTTTTTCCCCACTCACTTTGAGTTTGTACATTTCCCACCAAAGGGTAAGAGTATGCATGCTTAGCTCCCCAGAAGAATATCGCTTGAATCACACTTATCCATGTATATATTGAAATAAAGAGAACTCACGGATGTTTACATTTCAAGGAAGCAAGCATGCAACACAAGACATAAACATATAATTACAACTGTGTCTGAAAGCTCACCTCCTTTTCTGAGTTTGAAGAGCGGGGTTCCACCTTCCACTCTGCCTCCATCTGGGACCAACAGAGCCTCAATCACTCCGGCTGCAGGGGAAGGGACCTGCACCGAGGTCTGAAAGACAAGTCTTCATGAAATAAAGTTAAGAAAAATACTGTAACCTTCACAGTACCCTTCACATCCTACCAGCGTGTGCTTTCTGTATTAACATTTTAACAGCGCTAAAGTACATTTAAAAACATGAAGAGAATATTCCCATGTTATCCTGTGGAAAACATCTGAACTCTGTTGGTATTCACATAAGCTTTTAATGCCACACACAATTATTGCCTTTCATTTTGCAAATTTACTTGACTATTAACATTTTGAGCCATTGGAGCCTGATAATTAAAATACTTTAATGTCCAATTCATAGTTTATCTTAGTTTCTACCCCATTGTGTGAATAACCATGTTTAAGTTTTAAGAGATGATGCACATATAATCCACCTCATTCAAGTAGCCGTTTTCCTTATTTTAACTATTAACAACTGTAACAAGTTAGGCAGAGAACAAATGGCCATAAATGCTATTAATAAATGCGAACGATGTATGCTATTTGTAAAGACAGTGTGAGAAGGTTTTTTCTTTGAAAATGTTGAATTCCGTTAGTTCAGTATCAAAATTTAAAGGGGTACGGCAACGCTCTTTTTATATTTCAGGGTTAAAATGAGTGCATTTCAAACCACAATGAAAGACAAATGTACACATTAAACATTGGAGTATAATCTCCAATTTATCTAAGCAAATAGACAAATTTCCAGTTACTGTATGAGAAGTGCAATATTCTGCTATTCAGAATGAGTCAACAAAACTTCTGGTGATGTGAAGCGGCCCTATTACATTGTAAACAAGCAGGTTTATAAATACATCTCTTTTAACCCAATAAAAATATTGTTCTTGACGCTGAGATGGTTTTGCATACAAAAATACTACTTATGTGTTACTCTACATGCAGATCACATTTCTGTGGTGAAATGTCAGCTGCATGACCTGTACAATGACTGTACATCGCATTACATTAGACATTACAGTAACTAGTGAGCAGGAAGGGCCGCTTCATCTCATAATTTGCATAAACTCCCGCTCTTGGTGACAGAGAGACCAGGAGGTTTCAACAACATTGCAATTATCCAGTACTCACAAAGTTCACGATTTTGTGCTTAATTCTTAATTTGTAAACTTTTCTGATATTGTCAATTAATTAAGTTCCTGAGATTAAATAACTGGTCTGAGAAATTGGAACTGCAGTTCTCCTTTAAAAGTTCACTACCTAAAACTTAACTTTTACAGTTCAGTATATGTCTTGAATACATCTTTTTCTGCAAAGGTGTGAGCCTAAGAATTGAATAAAAGCATGAAGTATTATCATTGTTTCACACACAGCATTACACTTATGAGTCAATATGTTTCTACAAGTTATTTGGGCAACAGTTCTTTATTTAAAAAAAGGCCATATTCTCTCACTTTAACGTGAGTCATTAGTGAGTTATATTAACCAATACCGACAAAAACAGCAATTCAGGGTGAGACTTATATAAAAAGTGATGTGTAGGTAAATCCTTTATAAGATTTATACCTTATCAGTCTCTATTTCACACACCACCTCATCCTCTGCAACCTCATCCCCAACAGCTAAAAGACAAAATGAATAGTTACATTTTGTGCAGAGAAAAACTTTCAAAACTAAACAGTAGATCAATATCATAATGGAATCAAAACACCTAACTACAAGAAACATTCAAGAAAGAATGGCAAATATGATGAATTATACAAAAGATATGTTTACTGTATTGATCCAAACCTGCATATATCAATAATTGCAAAGGAACAAGTAATAGGTTTATTCCATGCTGAAAAAAAAGAAGAAAGAGCTCACACCTGAAGAAGGCTCCACGGCCGAAACGTTGTGTTCTCGTTCTTCTTTTTTTCAGCATGGAATAAACCTACTACTTGTTCCTTTGCAGCCTATGCATGCTGACGCAGCTACCCACCTGAACTACTATATCAATAATTAAAATCAATAGTGATAAACCAAAACTGCAAATCTAGTAATAAATGACAATACTGTTCTGCGATATATAGAACTGCAGTCAAATATGCAAGAATTACTACAGAATAAAAAAGAAATTAATACAGTATTCTAAATTCCAAAACTTTAATGGGAAAAAAAAACAATACCTTTCTCCCACCTTACATCACCCTCTGTGACAGACTCCGCAAATGCAGGAGTATTTACTGTGACAACTTCATTTTCTGTTAAAACAAAAAAGAATGTGAACATACTTTACTAAAGGCAATTTAAAAAACAAACTGAAGACAAATTTTTAATTTTAAATGGGACCAAGGCAGGTGAATACTTACTGCAGACTGCTGAAGTCTTAAAGTACCTAATGTGGAAGACACTAGATCTCCTGCCACATTCCCTGAAAGAAATGTGATTATTCAGGCAGCTTTAATAGTAAAAAAGCAGAATTACTGTACGATTAACATTTTTCTTTATCAGCAGCTAATTTCATACCGATTATCTTTACAACTGAGAATTACTCTTGACAAAACTCTAGTAATGCAAATGTACGTCTGTTAAAATGTTTAACTAACTATTCAGTTCCATCATATTGGTTAAATGAATCAACAGTTAATTCAATTCAAAACTCTTATGGGAATATTGACAATGTATTGGTATTTGTGTAAAAGAATGATAGTAACACTGATGTCCTGAACGTTAAAAGTAAAATTATGTCTGAGGTTTCTTTAACCATAAAAAGACCCAATTTCACCTTGGTTAAAAGACTTTAAATGCAAACCCACAGGTGTTTAAAATAAATAGAACAAGTGCACTTTACAGGATGTTGAACATTTATAATCATGAACTCATTTTTTCTTACTAATGAAACAACTCGGAAATCATACTGCTTGAAAGCAATATAACTCCAGACAATTTCAGAGAAGTTTTTTTGAGCCGTTCAACTTAACTTGAGGACTTAGAGATTAATAAAGACACATGCACATATATATGGGTGACAAAAGGAGATTCCAAAAAAACAGAACACTTACAGACGGCTCTTCTCATAAGCAAGGTGATGACAAGCAGAAAGGCCTAAACAGATAAAGGATAACATTAACAGTCTGATGACAATACTCCATTATTTAAATAGAGTAATCCTATTAATATCTTACTGTATATTTAAGTGGTCCTTTGTAAAGAGTACTTAACCTCTCAAAAGCCCTTTATTTAATCAGGGTACTCAATAAGCATTATCATCTCCAGTAGAATTGTTCATGAATCATTCATGGGGAATTTGACCAATTTTATGGATATTCATAAGACATAAAATCTTTGTGTATGACCGACAACAGAACTAAATTATGCTAAATCAGTGAAAATAAAAGGCAAAATCCTTACCTGAAATGGCCCTCCTCCCTAAGACACTGTTACCCTGTTGAAAGAAAAGAAAAACATGAAATGCTTTTATTCACAAAATAAGTTTTAACATAAGCACACATTTTGTATTTTGGACCTGTATCAAGTTTGTAAATTGCCATTCTTCAATTAATAGGATATGACCAATTCTATGAATTCTGATTCCAGAATACATGAAAATACAAGATAATGAGATAAGAAAAATAGGTTAAAGGACTGTGGACTGCAGTTCACGTACGTGTGGTAACACCGGTTTAATTATATTTTATATAACTGGTGACTCCAGTTTAATTAAATATACCTGCGGATACAAGTAAACTGTCACGAGACACGATAAAGCTGAAAGTAATATTTTTCTTTAGCATAGCAAATAAAATAGACTGTAGGAATCCCTCACCAAAATATACAGTTCAGCAAAACATTTTATAATTACTTCAGTGTTTCGAGTCTGAAGACGATCTTTCTTTTCAGGAGGAAGAAATTCAAAGGCCAACTCAAAACTACTTGACTGGAACTTACTGTACCTATTGTCATTTTGTTACAAAAAAACTTATGTTAAGAACAAAGAGAAGCCTAACCATACTTTATAATGACCCCCTCCTCCCTGACTCCCCTTACATCTCTTCTGCGACAAAAGAATCAGAATGTCCAGCAGGCTCAGACCCTCAGCTTCACACAAGAGTAAGATAACAATAAAAGGACAACCTCTTAATCAGCACATTTTATGCTGAGAACAGAAATATAGAAAGAACTGGATGCCTTGACTACTGTTTCACAAAGGGGCAAGGTACAAGAATTATGCAATCTTTCTATTCTGAGAAATGTTTTCAGACCATAAATACCATTAATGATGGCACATCTTTCCAGAAATTCAGTAAAGAAAAAAACATCAAAGATTTTTCATTTCTTAAAGTAAAAAGATCTTCATCTGACCTTTGTGCAAGCAATGTGGTGTGGTTTTAGTGGGTTTTATATTGGCTCATATTGGTAGTGAAATAATGCACATACAGTCACATACATAACTTTTCTGTTAATGATCTTGAAGGCACTGTCCAACAAAACATTTTCAGACTGTGGAGTCAAGCTAATTTTTCTCCATTAGTAATACTGTCTTGGCATGCCACTGATTTTGTAAACCAGCCTTCTTACAATTCTCTGCAGCCAAAAACCACTTGTGAGTGGAGTGCTCTGATTGAGAAAACTCTATATGTTCATTCTCCAGGTTTAAAAAAAATCAAATGGCTTTAAGCCAAATATTATTCTTTAAATATACATAAATATACACCACATGGAAATTATACAATAAACTACTTCAGTATGTTTGGGAACTTTCTCAATTTACAATTGTATTTTAGGGAAATGTTTTTGAAAACTGACATTTTGCAAAGAAAAAAAACAAATAAGCCCTAGTACCCAAGTAACCTGAAGTACTGCATTCACCCCTCAAGCTATTTTTAAAAGTATGCAGTTGTAGTGTGATCATTCCTGGGTGACTGGGAATGAATCTTATTGACCCCCAGTTTTATAACATAACACACAAATAAAGGTTAACACAAAACATTTAACAACAACAGCTGCTTACATAATGAATAAAAAATATAAGTGGAAACAAAGTTCTAATAAATCATACCATATTTGCAAGATTTTAATAACTGTACATATCAAATGGTTATTTATTTTAAAATATGTTATTTCTGATTGAAAATTCAAAATATATTTTAATACTCCTATCAGGTACCCAAACAAGGCACAGTGTTTTACTTTGAACTTTTGTGGAGTTTTGATCATCTCTTTAGTCATGGACTACAAAATAAATGCACCCCTTAGTGTGAAATAATTTCCTCTATTCCGATTGGAATGTATTTAAGATACATATTATACATACACCCGGCAGTTCATTAAAATATGAAATGTAAATTTACAAATAGAACTCATGTGATTTTAATGCGTGATACTATTTTAAACATGCCTAAGTTTGTAAGAAAACATTGGCTGAGTTTAGCAACACCACACAATACTGGGGAATTCTAAAGGCCATCAATACTTTGTGATGCACCTCCTTATGCAAGGCAGGAGTTCAAACACTATCACAGACATGGTCCTACAGGGTGGACCTGCTGTCTTTGAAGTGGGGTGAAATTTCAAGACATTTGGATACTCTGCCCCACCTTAACCGCCAACCGTCTGACCGTGAACCTAGCTGAACAGATCAGTTATTATACATGATCAATACCTGCAAAATCACCAAGAGTTAAAACGACTTTGGTTACTGTTTTCTATGGTTTCAGAACTTGTTTATCTCCGTATTAAATTCTAAAAGAGAGACCGCTCAACACACCACAGGCCACCTTGGGCTGTGCCTTCACTCTCTTCTGCCGTTAATAATATTCAGTCAAGGGGCAACATGTGAGCTGCAGGTCAGCCTTGTTCTGTTACGTTGATCAATTCACAACAGCCGGGCAGAATAAAAACGGGGAAAAAATAAAGCACTACAGAGTGGCAATTTGCAAACGCTACATGCACAAATGTAACTCGGCAAGTGTTGTTTTTTTTTAATGGAACAACCTATCAATGACCTCACTTCAGCGCAGAAGTTTTTCCCCAAAGTGTCTTCAATGACGCCGTAGAATACAAAGATTATACGACCGGATTTCGTTATTATTCAAGTCGCCCCCTCAACCCTCAGGGTGCTTATTCTCAGTGTTTTACAGAGGAGCCGCTCTGCGATCGCGGGTACGGAGTGTCACTCTGTCCTTGGGGTGTCGTGAGGCCTATCCCCGGCCTACATCCTACTCCACCGCCTCACTGCCAAACCCCAGGCTCTCGCATTCAGCCCCAGCGAGCTAACGGCGGGTTGCTTTTTCCAAGAGCCTACCTGGCTGAGAGCGGAGAGGGAGCGGCCGAGAGTCCGGGAGAAACACCGGGAGTGGGAAAGCATGACGACTAAGGACAGCGGTAGCAGTACCGGGGAAAACCAACAGCAGACAACCCGACCAAGAAGCTGTCACACAGAACCACAGGGCGGAAACAACCTGGGATAAACCAACGTGAAGAGTGACGGGGGAGGGGAGGTTGGGATTGTTGGGGCAAACCAACACCGAATAGGGATTAGGAACATCCAAAAGGAGTAAAAAATGTTTTTTTTTTTAAATACAGGAATTTGGGAAGCACACGTTGTCTCTTTTAAGTACCCTCGCATTTGTTAAACATTCTTGCTTTGTGAAAAATGGGATTTCTTCACTAGTGAAGAACTAGGAATGTCGTTGACTTATTTTGCAATGGTTTAATGTCTCTTCTCGGATTTGCCCACAGATGCTACTACAGTTATCTTTATTGTTTTATATTGCTTTACAATGCAACAGAAAAACTCGTGCTTACTGGAATAAACACTACGCTTGGGGTTCAAACGGGAGTGATGAGATTTTATTGATAATTATCCTTAGTTAACTCATTCACAAATAATTCATTAATTATTACAACTCTAAATGTGTAGAATGGCGAGTTCACCTCGAGTTTTCAACAGAAACTTGTCGTTTTATTTCTGGGCTATAATAGCACGGACTGAGAATCGGGCTGTGACACCCAGTCAAATCGTACAGTTGTACTGTATCAGAAAGCACAGCTCCCTGTTCTGCTTTACTTTTAAAAGGGATACGTTAGAAGGAACGCATTATCTGAACGGCATAAAAACACGAAAGGGAGATATCTGCTGTTCATGCACCGAAATGTGATTGTAACGAACATCACCGCTACTTTGTAATTCCCTGTCATGTTCCGCTCCTGCAGCGCCGCTTTCGTCTCATTAACATAGCTGAACTCCGATTTGCCTGAGCTGACCACACCTCCGCTAGCCCCTTGTGTCATGGACCGGCCTTTGAGGCTCCTGCTCTCAGGATTGATTTAACCTTTCTCGCAGGGATAGGGAGTAGCATCTTCTCAGCGGGGCTGCAGGTAAGACAACCTCAGAAACCCTCCTCGATCTCAAGTGTCCTTCCTTTATGGAACAGAATAACACGCCTTTTGTTTTTTTTTGTTTTTAGAACATAACTGCAACGTTCCCGATTTTGTTTTTCAAGTTTATTCATCTTCCTACTATTAAGTTGTACTTTCACCGCATTACTGAAAGATGGCAATGAAAAATATTTAATTGTGTGGGGGGAAAAAACTCCTAGTCATTTCAGGTTGAAGCAAATAATGTGCCTTTGCAAGTGTAGAGAAATACTGTATATGTCTACAACATTTTGTAGCTTAATCTTCTGGACAAGTAGTACACCGTGTTAAAGTGATTCTTTCTCCGTCTTTAAATAGACTTTAGATGTTGTCGATATTATTAATAATTGTAGTCGACTAGCAATTTGTTGTAATTAAGGAAGGACACCGACTGCTTTTAATAATCTGTCAGAATGCAGAACATGAAATGCATTTACTGGATAATAATCAATTTGTTTGAATATGTTGCAAATAACTTGTGCCCTGTTTGTATTACACCTCTATCAATGTAATGGTTTGCTATATACTTGGTATTTATTTTTTGGTCACCGTATGGCAAGATTTATTTTAAGAACAGTTTTGGGAAAGTACTTATAGATTAAATATAATAATGCAAACATATGTTTTTAAATAGGATGTATTAACAAACTCCTAGAACGTGTTATTTATATGCATTTACATCTTGTGATATAGCATTTCACATCATCTCTTGTGAAAAAAGGAAGATGGAGCATTTTGTCCACGGTACAATGTAACAGATCTTGAGTAGGATTTTATATTTTATACTTTAGAATACATTTTCTAAATTTATTGATACTCAACTCCTTAGTTACGAATTATATACTTCTTAATATTTAACCACAATGAGACTAAACACTGAAAAAACGGAAGTACCCTGAGTATGCTTCACTCTGTCATAGATGATAAGGATAAGAACGTTTTTATTTGAATTAGTCAAATGATTTGTTGTAATATAGTTTTTACAGTTAAGATATGTCCAATGTCTTAGATAAAAGAGAAATAACAAGGAACTTAGTTTTTTGTGCTTGTTTTTAAGTGTGCTTAATACTGTAAATGCCATTTTAACGGTAAGAGAAGCTTTGATTTATTGTTGGGAAGTAAAGTTACTAATTAACTGTTGTGTATTCAACTACTCAACTACTGTACCTCATTTCCTCTTTTATTCAGCTAAGTGGAATAACTTGCCCAATTCTGAAACCTAGCACACTTGTGACCAGTTCTCATTACATGGAAAATAATTGCTGAGTAAAACACAAAGCAATCTGCGTTCAAACAGGAGCAACACGATTTTAATCAAGATTTGTTGATTGAAATCAACAATAAGACCAAAGCTGGATTCCTTAATGTTTTATTAATGTTACAAAAATTATTTGAGAGAAACAAATTCACCTGTTGGTTAATTTTAACACAAATTTGTCCAAGTCTGAACATACTTTGATTACGTTTAAATATGGTCACATTTTTACAAGCAATGCTTGTACTATACATACACTAAATTCTTTTAACTTAAATTGAGGATTAATATTGCATTAAAAATTAATATGGGCATTTTAGGTACATTAAGTTAGTATGTCTGACAATATTGTAAGGTCTGCTTTACTATCCCAAGAATGTTATTTCAAGAACACACCACAAATACAATTCCTCAAACAATACAAAGAATTCAACTGAACAATATTTCTCAGTTGAACCAAATATCTCATAAACATACATCCTGTGTAACAAATGTGGCTCTGTTTTTACAAGTTTCATCAACAGATGTTTTTTTTTTTAGTATGTAAACAACTTTCTCAAACTATATAAATAAAACTGCCATCTGAGATGCTTTTTCTCTTTAATATGTCATTTCAGAATATTTCAGAAGCGGATATAAAATCAGTGATTGTGACACAAATGAAATAAATGGTGTACTTTAAATGTATGAGATTCTGAAAACTGTGTTCTGAGAAAGGCACTGTACAGGATGTGTAAAATGCTAGTGAAGTTTACATGGAGATCAGCAATAATATTCTAAACAAAACCATCATTCCTTTAATAGTTGGGATAAGGTGTATAATCTCTGACAAAATGAATCTAGAGACAGGTTACAGTATATAGTTAGCATGATGATAAAGTTTTTATTATCCAAAGCAATTAATGTATTCAAGGCTGATATGATGGTTTAATAATACATCAGTCTTTCTTTTTGTTTTCACTTTTCATGAACAGACAGAATGCTTGCTAAACGTTTCTTTGGCCTATTTATTTGCATTTATTTTTACAGAAAAATAGGATTTTCTGTCACCTCAGTTCACAATTTGTATGTGGTTTACCAGCTTGTTGACTACGTCTGAGTCATGCAGAAAAGGTTTATTTTTAAGATTAAGTAATACAAAAGCTTCAGAATTGTTTTTTGATTCATTAAAATGTTTCTGAAGAATTCAGTAGCTGGCTAGGTGCTGATAGAGAATGCTTTTTTAATAGGAATTATATTTGCAGCGTATGTTAATTGTACCTGTTTTGTAACACATTAATGTGCAGTATTTTAGTATCTACCTGTACTTGTAATAAATGAACAACAACGACAATAACACTATTCTTGTAGCTATACATTCTGCTTTGTTCTGTGTGGTTCTTACTTTTACTGATTGTAAGACTGTCTATGAGCCTATTTTGGGATTTTGGATCTACTGATAAATTGTAATTATCTCTTCAGGGCTATAAATATGTTAAGGTTTTGGAAAACGTTCTACCTGTGCAAATGCATAATTTACATCCCATGTTTGAAAGGGAATGGCAATGTGTTGCTATAAAAAAGGACAATATGAGGAATCAGGGGTTATGCTTTAATTTACTGAGGTTAATTTTCATGGACTGGCTCAGACTTTGTTACTGGTTATTTATCTACCTTTCCAATTTTGTAGCAAAACATTCCTGATGTCCTTCATGTACGATTTATAATCGTGTAACAGTTAAGGCTTTTGCCTATGTAAACAAATATTAGTGTTAAACATAAACTGTTGTTTCAGAGTTGTGTAGAGATTTATTCTGAACACTTCATGCATTTAAGTTATTATTTACATTAAGGAAAGTACATGTTTCATTGTGCTGTGCTGTTATAATAGTATCCTTACATCTTTTATTAGTCTGTAGTTAAGTCTTTTATTTTTTATCACTGACTTTTCAACTGTTTTAGCTTCTCAAGTAATAAAAAGATTAAAAGAGTGTTTTATATATTTTATAATAATAAATCTTACTCATCTGTTTGGTCTTTAGGAGACCTTATTCTCTCTTTTTGTCCCATAATTAAAGATCTTTTAGGGTGTTTTTAATCTTTTTTAACACGCAAGATAAAGGGATGCTATTTTGCAGTTTAATGATGCCCAATCTCTGCATTTTTTAAATTTGCCTTTATAGTGAGAAGCAAGGGTCCTTCACCAGAACAGTGAATACATACTGGCAAGAAAGGTTTTTGAATGAGATTAGCCTAAAACTAAAGATCGAAACCAAGCACTGCAGAATGAGGGATATTGTTGCATTGTTGGACTCATCATTGGTTTGTGTTGTGGTCTGAGCTGTGCTCAAATGTTCATGGTTTTTGGTACAATAAGGCTGAACAAACAGGAATGTCAACAATGTATTGCTGCTGAGCGTCACTTGTACGTTAATGTAGAGCATATGTCATTTTTACATAATGTCTGAGGAATCCAGAAAAGATGTGGCTGCCTTCTATTTTATTGATAGAGACAAATCATACATCAGACCTTATTAGACACTTATTTTTTTGAAAGAAAATATCATACAATTGTGGCAGCAGATAGATGTATAGAGTTGATTTTCATATGATGCTAGAATTCATTTTTCACTGTTTCAGTATTCAACTCTATAAATTTTGACTCACTAGAACTTCTAATTAAGAGACAATGGCTATGGTGGAATACTTTCACGGTATCTATTTTTTGCCATTTTATTGATCTTTGGGAGAGTGATTTAAAAATCAATCTTAAAGACACATTTGTGTGTGGAAATTTTATTTTGGACATGGGTGGCTATTGAAAACACTTTTACATTAAGTTTTTTAATGCTTGTCTTTATTTCAGATATCCTCAACATCGGGCTTGATAACATTTCAGATTTATTGATTCGGGCATCTCTTCATTAAATTTTGTTCTTTTTGAATAACGATTGCCTCCCTAAACATGAACCTCAGCATCTCAGATCCAAACATGCATTCCTCCAGCGCAAACTATCTGGAGGAGGACAAAGGGGAAATCCTCCATTCGTCCTTCAGAAAAAATCTGTATGACGGCTCTCTGAATATGTACTCGAATGGATCCATCATTTCTCAGCTTTTGCGTAAAACCATTCAGAGTAAGAGAGCTCTGGAGGAGGGTGTGTTCTTCTTGCCTGCCACTGCGGTCTCCAGCTGCACCATGGGAGATTCCGCCCAGGAGGACAGAAGCAGCAGCTCATCCAAAGACAGCACCCTAGAGCCACTTTCCCCAGGTAGCCACACTTCTACCACAGCCAGCCCCGAGGGTGACCGACCACTGAATGAGCACCACCAAGCCAAGCGGGCCAGGGTGGAGAACATCATCAGAGGCATGGCAGGATCTCCTAACGCAAAGACGCCTGGAGAAGGAGACAGGAGTGAAACTGGTGGGGATATAAGGGAGACCTACCGGGAAAACAAAAGGAAGCAGAGGCTCCCCCAGCACCAGAACCACAGCCTCAGTGGTGGAGCCAGCAGACCCAACAGTAAAGATGAAGAGTGCCATAAGCTGAAAGAGCAGCTGCAGGCCATGCAAAGACACCTGAGGCAGCTCCAGGAGAAGTTCTTCCAAGTTTATAATGTGAGTGAGCTGGAGCATGAGGACCGGGTGGAGACATACCCAGCTGGCTTCGTACTGCATGGCGGTGAGGACCGTAACGCAGACCTTCTGGAGAACCTGGACTGTGAACTCCTCGCGGACCTCGACAGCGACGCAGAGAAAAAGTTTGACGCTATTAAAGTCAGGCAGAAAGAGACACTGCAAACTGAAAATAGCCTCCCAACCTTACATAAAGAGAGCAAGAATCTGTCAGAGGCTTTGAAATCCGAGTTATCCAGGGCTGTGAACAAGAGCGTAGACTCAGTTCTTAAAAAGTTCACTTCTACATTGTTGAGCCAAACATCTCAAATAAACTTTGAGCAGACTTCGGTGCAAGATAATACTGGACCTGAGAACAAGACCATCATCGTGGCTGCTCAGGAATATTCACACACAGATGACTCAATGAAACCTAGATCTGCTGACTATTATGAGAGTGTGGAGGTGCAAATCCCTGAAGACCAAACGGAGGCTTTGTCACTGGTGGTACGTAAGCCAACTCTAAGCCACCCAACGTCTGTAAACCAAGTCCTGAAAAGGCCATTTCACTTACATCAACCTTTACAGTTTAACTATAACACCGCTTTACATGAAAATCAAATCCTTGAACATCTCCTGAAATATGGACCTCACAGCAGTTTTGGAACCCTGCCCTGTATGACCCCAGCGATGGACAGGTCTTCACCAGATTCAGTAGACATGCCTTGGGATGTCATCAAGGTGAGGTCCAAAGTAGGTCCCAGTCATATGACTCACCAGTCCCGTTCTCCGAACCTGGGGCAGATACCCGTGGACAGCCTGTGCCTTCCTCATGTCAAAATGGAATGTGGGGATCTGCATAACATGGCAGACCGGAACTCTTACATGTCACTAAATATATCCTTTAAAAAAAGTGATTCTTACTGTTAAGGGTAAGGTACAAGTAGAGAAAGATGAAATATTTTAAGCCTTAGAGAAAATAAGACTTTGGTTTCACATACTGTAGTTTGCTCCACTTTAATGAACTCTTTGTGCAGGGACTCCAAGCCACATCCACAGACAGTAATGTAGGGGGATCATGTTATCATCATATGGCTGCCTTTCACTTCATATAATAGCCAGTCTTCAAAATAAAACGTGAGCACTTTCATGAATGTACCATGTATCATTCAAGTGTAATGCAAAATCCAAAGACCCGGACATACAGTAGTGTCTGTAGTCATTGCAAATTATACTAAAAACAAATTCTCAGAACTTACATGGGTTTGCTTTCAGGTGGTTGAAGTATACCTTAATAATCTTTCTTTCTACAAGTTTACTATTATTCCCATCTACTGCCTTTGAAAACAAAGGTAAACCAACAAATGCCAATTTTCCTTTCTTCCCTTTCCAGCAGAACAATGACTCGGTGAGCCTCACTGTAGCATTAAGAGTTCCAGTAGCACAGACTTCAAGGAGAATTTTCCCTTTGATCTTGGTAACCCCAAAGAAAATTACAGCATCTTCTTTAATCTGGGCAGAGTAATGACTTTAAGTCTGGAAAAAGACAAATAAAAAGGAATACAGGGCTTTGATAAGAAATTGCTAGGAACAAAAGACAATTTTCAAAGGCAGAAAAAGCAGTGTTTTTATTCAGGAAATTCTCTGAGCTTTTTTTTTATTGTACTTGAAATATTCTTCAAAAATCCACAATATGTATGTGTTCACCTTGTTACAACAACTTAAGATGAACCCAAAATAAACATTTTGGTTTTCATTTACTGGACAAAACCTCCCGTTTTTCAGTGTTTGAGATTCACAAAGGCTATGAACGTCCTTACAAGAAATGTTTTTCTTCTTTAGTGTGAGCTGGCTGCTGTTTAATCAGCGCCTCATAAATCTTTTGGCGACATGCACTTCTCCATTTTTCCAAATGCACCTTTGCCTTAAATAATGTAAGGTGCTTTTTTAGTTAAATGACTTTGTTGTGTTATTCTCTGGGCTTGTTTGCTTGAGGTCATTTTTATGAGAACAAATCAATTGAAAATTAGTGTCACGTGAAATTCCCAAAGGTGCAATTGTTAAGTAACTTTTAATAAGGAAAGCTTTGTCTTGGAGGGCAGAGGCAAGAGAATGAGAATCCTCTCTCCCGTTCTCTCCCCACAAGCGCTTTCTGCCTTTGTTTCTGTGACCCAGAAATGAAACTCTGGTTAGTCTCTCTAGAAGTAGTGAAAGGACCAAGGTTTTTATAGTCTCATTAGACAAATAATGGAAAGTGCAGAGTTGGAAAACAAATACAAGGATATTTCTTGTTTTTTCTCCCTGTTATCCTTGCATTAAAATGCTTTTGAGCTTCTGAAGAAAGTGTTGCCTTCATTAACACTGTCCCCCATCTGTGAAACAATAGGCAAACTCAGAGAGGAATGAGGCCATGAGAGCAGCATCAGAACATGACACAAAAACCTTTTAATAGCTGTCATGTGTTCCTTTTCACAAACAATAATGGAGGTTAATTAAAAGACATCTATTTACATATTAAGTAAACAGAAAAAATCAGCTCGGGCTCTTTAAAGCACATTTAATTTGCTCTTCGCTTTCCACTCATTTCTTCGTTCCCCCCATTGTTATCAGTTTTAAAATTCGTTTACTGATACATCTTTGTAAACATACGACAGATTTAATAATAAGGTAGATTTTTAAAATATTGAAATGAAAATTGTTAATGAAAATGACCTTTAACCCACATTTTGGAAAACATTCCTTTTTGGTTTTGCTGTGGGTTTAAACAGTACTGTTGTTGAGTGTAAGTATTGTCAATTCTATTATACAGTATAAATTTGTGTGTGCGTGTGTTAAGGCCAGACGGTGAAGTCATGAGAGAGGTTACCAGCTATTGTGGGCAGAGGTGAAATGACTGGCACTGCAGTGGGCTAGAAAATTGGTCAGATCCTGCAGAAACAAACATTTTACACTAGAAACCATAACAACAACAAAAAAACTTGCCCAGTCAATGTGCGAGAGAGAAGTACAGTATTGGGTGGGAGTTTAGTGTTCTTATTTATATTTCCCTGTCATGAATGAAAATGTCTACCACTGCATTACAGCATGAGGAATTTAAGCGACAGTTATAGCATAATCTAAGCTCCTCTAATGACATCTAATGGCAAGTCCTATCTCAAAGTCATTATCTATTATAATTATTAATATTAAGATGATGATGTCGCCCTAGCCTTGCTCACTGGGGGTTCAGGCCCGGAAATCTGTAAAGCTCCTTTGTGACAATGTCCATTGTAAAAAGCGCTATACAAATAAAACTGAAATGAATTGAAATTGAAAGTGCCTAGCCAGAAGCTCAGGTTAGATAAGATAGTGTATAAACGAGGCTTCTGTCCATGGTAACCTGGCTTTGGCATTTACCATCACATACAGAGCATGTACATGTATGCATTTATATATCTCACGCATACAGAAAGGAAGAGAAAGGATCCTATTGCCCATTCTTGCAAGGTGAACTGAGACTGGCAGGGATACCCTTTTATGAGTAGCTCAACACTGTAGCAATTGAGCTCCCCAAATGAACTTACCAGTACAAATTAATATATTTTTCTGCCTTTAGTTGCGAACCTATGAAAACTGCCACCTTTCACACATCCAGATGTTGTTTTTTAATGCACTGACAAATGATAGCTAGCAATTACCCTTAACAGACATCACGCTAAAATACTGATAAAAATCCTTAATGTCATTGATTGAGGTAAACTTACTAATATACACCTTTAGTGTGAGATATCATTGTAGACTCTTTCCTTAGCACAGTCTTTGTGTAATGTAATAGGGCAGGAACAGCAGAATCTTCTGTATAAGAAAGTAATGACAAAAGTGGATTAAAACAGCTGAAATAAAGTCTGCTAGTTGTTCTTTGGTCAACTAGGTACTTTTTTTTCATTTATTCAGCTGAAATGTCTCATTTATTTTTTCCATACAGTAATCAGATCACGAACATTGAAAATATTTTAAAACAGAGATGTATTGAATGGTTTTAAGGCACTATTTCTTAACTATAAGGCACATTCAGGAAGGCCTAACACCCAATCACCTGAAGAAGGCAAAGTTAATGTTCTTCTACACCCGGTACCCCAGCTCCAACGTCTTAAAAACATTCTTTCCAGATGTCAAGGTAAGCAAAGTAAGAAATTCCTTTTTTTTTTACTTTTACTTTTTGGAAGTTTTAATCTTTCTTCATCTTTTTACACGAAGCATAATAACACTTCTCGCTAATGTCTTCAGTGTTTTGATAAGAAAGGCCATGCGTTTTATTGCTTATGCTTTGTGTGAAATATGCACCAAAGTGTTAAGAGCTTTTTTAATGTGTACATTACACATATGTTGAAAAGTATTAAAATATTAACAAATTATATGTTGAAAAGTTGGTAGCAGTAAAATACCCAACTTGTTTTTCATTTACCTAGCCATATCTTGCCAATTTATCAAACTGGTAGTCTCTGAAAAGGAACTGTAGATATTTGTTATACAAAAAAGATACATCAGTATTGCACCTACAGTAGAAATGTAGAATGCCCAATGCCGGGGTAATTTAAGTATATTTAACTATATAAAAATGGTTCTCCGGAAGGACCTAGAGCAGAAGAAAGACTGATGTAAATATCAGTACTTTCTCCTTGCGCTCTGCCCTTCCTGAAGTGGGCTCAACGGACGAGCTGCATAGTGCTGACCCTCGAGGTCAAAAGTAAGTCCATCTCTCCTTCCGGCCCATGACCCGGTCAATAGGAAGCCATCCTGAATGACAGGTAGCTAATCCCGATGTCTGAATCCATTGGATCAAACTGAGTCACTGAGAAGGAAGGTTCCTACTGGTCTTGCACTGCAGATGCTCACTGACAGGAGGGGAAAAAAAGGCTTTGATGACCATGTGGCAAAAAAAAATACATTTTGCCCCTTTGGCTTCACGCATTATTTTCTTGGATAAAAAGATAAAATAGCATGACTAATGACAAGACAAAGGTGAAGAACACGTTGCTTCGGAACACTTTTTAATCTTCAAGAAAAGTTGACAAAACAGTACATATTGCAAATATGGAGTACACAAACCCAGTAAGAAAAGGACAATACAAACAATGCATCTAGATAGCATGTGTGCTAAAATGACTAATCTGGCAATTGTAAAACTTTTAATTTAAAAAACTGCATGGGCAAAACTTGTTTTTAAAACACTATATAAACTTTTATAAACTACTGTACTTTCCTCATCTTCAACACATGCATATTTAAAGGGTTCAAACAATATGTAGCATCATTAGAAAATAAAAGGCAGAGAGAGTCAACGACTGATATCTACCATATAAAAACAACCTTAAAGAAAAAGAGTTATGGACTGACCTCCAGCACAGGAAAATGAGCTTACTGCTTCTTCTCTCTTCCAGTTCAATCGCTGCATCACCTCTCAGCTGATCAAGTGGTTCAGCAACTTCCGTGAGTTCTATTACATTCAGATGGAGAAGTTTGCTCGCCAAGCCATTTTGGATGGAGTAACGAATGTTAAAGATCTGTCAGTTACAAGGGACTCCGAACTGTTTCGAGCCCTCAACATGCACTATAACAAAGCAAATGACTTCCAGGTTTGTAGAATCTCCCATCCGTTCATGTGTTTTCACCTGGAATGTATTATTGTGCAAGAAGAGGTATTTTGTCAGTATGGAGCCAGATATTTTATTTTACCAAAGCTTTGTTTCTGCCAAAAGTTAGATTTTCTGAAGACTAAAATGCTTATAACTCAAATTTATAACCAAATGAGAACAGCACCTTTGCAAGGGTTCATTTTATCAACAATAGTGTAAAATATATAGTTTAGATTGCATACATTTAGTTTATTAAAAATTAAAATAAAAAAACTTAAACATAATACCCAACTTGTATGCGGCCCATACTAAACATTACAGCACAGAGAAATACTGAGTAATGGATTCTGATCTTCATCCATAGGTGATCATTAATATCTTGTGAAAATATATACAGTACAGTTGCATTTACCAACCTGAAAGCTGCTAAAAAGTTGGATGTATGATCTGTTTGTTTTGGCCACTGGTGAACATGTATCTCCCATTGGTCACGTATGAGAGTGTCCTGGGACTGACCCTCATGGCGCAGTCCACCTGAGGCCGAGTGGTCTTTAAGCCCATTATCTAAACTTTAGTGCAGTATATTATAAAACTGTGGGAAGAGGAAGCCACAGAATCACACTAAAACAACTCAGGATTAGAGGAACAGCACGCCTGAACGAGGCTCCCGATGACTAGTGACGCGGAACGCTGAGAAAGATTCTATGAATTCCGAGGATGAAGAGAGTTTGGTGGGAAAGGGCCGAGACAGTTTTCTTTACCTTTAAATCAAGACATTCCTTTCCCAGGGAGGGTTTTTGTTAGGCACTAAAGGCAAAAGATAACTAATCTCAGCAACAGCCAGTTAAATACTCTGCTTGAAATAATGTTATTTATTTTGCATTGTTTGAACATTTTCTTGGGGCATCTCGTTCTGTGACCAGTGTTGAATCTGCTGAAGTGGTATTCATGTTCCCATTAACATGCAGTTTTTCCACAAAACAAGACGTAATTTACCTATACTTAATTCTGTAAATGTTTTACATGTTTTGATGAAAAAAAACATCCTTGAGTGTCAGTCCGTACAGTAGTAAAGAGAGAAACGTTCCTGTAAATTCTCACCATAATATGGAAAAATATCAACCATTTCATAAAGCCTGCCTTATAAAATATGGACAGTATAGCAGACTTAATATTAATACATTCAAATTTCATTTTCATTTGTAAATACTACTTTCACCAGAACTATTTTCCTTAAGTACTGTAGGTTTAACACTATTTATCTACTGCGTAACCAAAGGTTGGAAAAAAGAATGTTACAAATCTGTGAAAGGAAAACCACAAGATCAGTTATTCAGTGAATAAATCTGTGCATTTGAGCTTTAGCTACCATCAAGCTTTCTTGTCACATTAGAAGTCGTTACCTTGTGCTGATTATTAAGACTGAATAAAAAAACAAAGTGACAGCAACTGTGTAATGACAGATTTGAGTTAATAAGTAATAAAAACACAAGCACTCCAAAAGGGAGTTTCATTTATGTTTTAAAAATATGTAATAAGAATGGAGACATTAAAAAGCGCAAACATTTCAGTCTTAGGTGATAAAGGACCATGCAGAATGAATTTTGCTCATTGTTTTGTTTTGTTTTTAATGCACTGAAAATAATTTATGAAAATTCTTCCTTAAGCCCTTAGTTAAGCCTCCTTACCGACACACAATGCAAAGAAGAATTTTGTGATTGATATGAAAGTGCCTCACCAATACATGAGGTTTCTACTGCAAAGCTACATTTAGGTATTATAAACTCATTGAATTTGATCCAGCATATAGAAAAAGAGCACCAGATTTTTCCATCCATCCATTTTCTAACATTTTTCTAATACAGGGCTGTGTGGGAGCTATTGGAAAGCAATGGGCACAATAGAGGGTACACACAGAGAGACACGCATTCACACTGCAGGATTTTTCCTTTAATTATAATTAAAGAGCATTTATGTAAAATTTCACATTAAGCTGAATGTGATTTATTTATTTATTTATAGGAATATTTACATATTCTAAACAGGTTAATTCAATTCACAACTCTCTTTTCCTCTCTTCCCACAGGTTCCCGATAGATTTCTCGAAGTCGCAGAAATTACACTGCAAGAATTTTTCAATGCTATTTCACTTTCAAAAGATTCAGACCCCTCCTGGAAGAAAGCGATCTACAAAGTCATCTGTAAGTTGGACAGCGAGGTGCCTGAGGAGTTTAAATCTTCAGCCTGCCTGTAAGAAGTCACCTACAGTACAGATGGGCACAGCTGAATACAGTGGCATCAGGACATTTTGTATGATCACCCACATTATTAAAGTAATAATCAGACCAACGGCAATGGAGATGTAAATCAGTCATCTTTTTTTTGTCAAATTAACTGGAAACATTTTTCACCTTTTTTACCTGGTTTTCAGGGTGACTTTTAAGTGGTAAAAAAAAATATAAGCATGATTTAATGTGTTGTGGATTTCAAAAGATTTTCCACAGGAATTGGTTAAACACATCCTGGAATTAAGCATAAATTAGTAAGAAAAAAATATCCTCGATTCTAAGAATGGAAAAAAAACATTGCAAAAAAAAAGAAAACTATCGCCTTATTCAGTACAGAGAAAAAGAAAAATGATTTGAGCCAATTACAGTACTTAGTTATGCAGCTCTAATATTCAATTATAAAAGAATGTCGTATATACCCTTGAAAACCTACATGGACGAACTATATATTAATTGTTGTATATCCTTTCATTTTTTTATCAGTATATCTAAATCAAATGTACTTGGTTACTGATCATCACAAAAAATCATGTTATGCCTGATGTTTGCTTTTCACTTACAGTATATAAAATAGGATTTAACAGTAATTGAGCCTATGTATTTTAAAATAAAGATTTCTTATTTTCCTTATTAATAGAAGAATGTGACTGGTGTGAAAATTAGTAAGGATATCTTGTGTACACAAATTGGTTTGGAAAACGCTTGCATGTTCATTTGCTAATGTCATTTTGACATCACAAATTTAAATCATTACAACTTTAGTTTCTAATCTATACAGACAAGTATCATGAATATCTTTATATCCAGTCATGAAAATCCTTTTTTCCCTGTTTTTTTTAATAGTAATAGTAGTTGTTGATTAGACAACGTAATCCAGAAAATAAAGTTATATTTAAGCAGATTGTTGACCTGCATTGTAAGTACTCTTACTTGTATTTTTTTACGAGACTGTCATGTTTGTTTTGTTTAAAAAATCAATACAATTTTTAATGTTAAAATTGTAGACATGTACGAAGCATCAGGGTGAACTTGCTGCAGCCTTGTTTATAATTGGATGAAGGCACCAAGCTGTGCCTTACACATCACAGGATTGCTAAGTGAATTAATGAATCCTAGTCCTTCAGGTACCACTACTTCTTTTTTAATGGTCCTAATGAGTGTTAAGATGAAGGAAGCCATGTATGAGGGACATAATTATACAGTAATCTTAATCTCGAAGACCAATAACACAATTCAACTGCAGTTAAATGAAGCTACCAAAAATAAATTCTATTGGCTGCTTGCTTGTTAAACACTGATTGTATCCTGCATAACATTCTCCTGTTTCTAATTAAACTAATTTAAGAAGCGAGAAAGAATAATTAAGGAAATGCAAGGCTACTTGTTGTGGCAGTGCCTAGAGAAATGTCAAGGATGTTTAAATTCCTTCTAGTCTTCTGATTTTCAATTTAAATTTACCTTCATAAGGAATCAGATTTGAGCGTGTTTCTAACCGGCTTAACAAAAAAATGGCTGTAGATGATTTTATATATTTTAATCATTTAAATAATTCCTACAGCATTTAACGCACACCAGAGTGGCTCTGCACAGTATGTATAAGGATGTGTTCATAAAGATAGAAACACCTGTGGGCAGCACACAACTAAAACAAAGGCCAGAATGATGATTTAACCCACTGAAAAACAAAATTGGGGCAAACAGCTTCCGTTTAGCTTATACAGTAACAGAGGCTTGTCTGGAAATTCAAGAATGAGTCATTAGACTTCAGCTTATCATTTAAATAGGGGCAGTTTATAGCACATACTCGTTCATTTTATTCCTGTTCTTTTGATCAATGTCCTTCCACATGCTTATCTTCTACAATCAATATCTTCTTGATTGTACTCTGTACATTTCCCCATTGTTCTTTTCATTTGTAACATCATGTTTTCAGAAGAGGAATGGCTTCTGAAGATTTCTCAGAACTGACTGTGGAGAAGTGTGATGGGGAAGAAAAGCACCCAACAGTGTCTGAAACAAACTGATACACAGCAATTCACATCCCCATTTCATTTCTTCACAACAGACCAAGAGGAATCTGCTCAGGAAGATCTCCTTTGATTTGTTTGCCTCAAAAAATAAAAATCTTACAGGTTCCATGACGACAACAGGCAGCCCGGTGACATTACAACTGTCCTGTAAGGTCATACTGATGTGCAAAAGATTGGGCTGAGCATCAGACACAAAAGGCTTAAAAAATGTCACATCAAAACTGAATGTTGTTTCTCAGGATTACGTATCCCATTTTCAGATACACAAAAACATTTTCCAGAAGAAAAAGCTCCCTATATAAAAGGATTGAAGAGAAGGAATGGAAAGTGACACACTCAGACGTATAAATGTACACAAACGCAACAGAAGTGAATTAATGAATAGAAATGGTCTCTTCAACATATTATATTTATATGTAAAAAGTTAATAACTAGTGTAAGCATACTGTACACTTGTCTAAAACTTTAATTTGTAAATCAACAATGTTATTAACCACAGTGACAAAAGGTGGATCATTTTGTAGAAATAAATTAGTTTTAAAATAGATTTTGAAATGGTTAATTAGGTTTAGGTTAGGCTAAAGGAAAAATATGAAAGACCTGTATTTAACAATTGATAATTGTGCATTCCTTATATAAATTTGCATTGCATCTACGAAACATGGTAATACATGGATAAAGATGTTTCCAGTGTTACATCATAAAGTGTTGATTAGTTAGAATTGTTAACATTCTGTTATCATATCAATTATCACTGCCAAAGACAGGGATCATTTTCTGCAGGCTCTTGCACAGTATTGTGGCTATTTTATAAATCTTTCACAAAGGGTTTTTCAACATTATAACAAAATTATTCCATTGATGTTATTAAGTGAAGTGGAACCGAGTTATTTCAATTAAACATTTTTTCCCCAATCATTTAACAAAAAAAAAATGACCAGAATAGCGGTATTTTTATGTACAGATCTCATTGACATCAGAAAAGGCAATACAAATATGTTTTTCTTATAAAGCGTTCCCAAAACTATCCATAATGTTATCCATATGCATACTGCAAGCAAAGACCTGAACAGAGCATACTGAAGGCTTAAGAAAATTATGAGGTTACTAAAACGGGTTTAAGGAATGTAATCTTTCCAACTAGCCTCAGTACAAGACACTAGAAAGTATAACTATAAAACTGGTTAAAAGACAATTTTGCACTAGTACTAATCAAATCTCTTACTTATATAGCTATGAACTCATGGAATGCTTTAGCAGGATTTATAGTGGAGGCAGCGTGGGATTAACACTGTGATATATTCCCATACTGTATATCACACACATTTTCATATATCACAAATATATTATTTAAATTTGTAGATGTTTTATTTGAACCTCATACGTTTTACTTACCCAGTTATGAATTCCACCAGTGAACCCCTATAAAACAAAGTATAGTTAAAAATAATTCAAGCATATTTTTCAAACTGAAGATAAAAACTGCACATATTCCAGTGCGTTGAAGTAATGGGATAAATACATTAACGATCTAAAGCAAACTGTACGGTCACTGCAAATATAATCAATATACATTTTCCCGATCAATCCCCACCTCTTATACCTTTCACACAGTAAAAGCTATTAGGTTTTTTTAATTGCCTCCAAAAGAAATACTGTTTTCAAGGAGTGGTAACCAGTCCGTAGGAAGTCATGGAGTGCAGAAGAAAATAAAGCCACATGTGTAAACGCATTCAAAAGCAAATTTCTAATAATTACCTCATATAGCGCAAGGAAGGAGCCTGACAGAGAAAAAACGTGAAAACTAATGCAACCTCACCATTTTCTTTAAATAAAAGTGTGCTGATGTCAATATAATAACTGTCAACTTTGAAATTGGTTTGCAGTTCCAACATTTGTCAAGGTTAAAAGAAAAACGGAGTGGATTGAAAGTTAACCTCTTCAGCACACACAGATGGAAATTGGTGTCTTAGAATGTCAAGCATTTTTGACTTGTTATACATCAAAATTACTATTAATTTATCAGTTTGATCCAAACAGGGATTTGTATTTTGGCATTTGGAACTTAATTCCCCAAAGTTCCACGCCATATAGAAGCAATTCCTTTTAAATACTTCACATCTGTTTAATGCAGGAACTCAAAAACATTTAAAAAACTCAAATTTTCAAGTTTTTATTAGAAAGCATTTTGAAATCTTGAACCACAGGTACGAAATAAGGTAATGTATTTACTTTATAGTCAGATTAATATTACACACACACCCACCATTAAAACTCTCAAGACCTTATCATATTTTAGTTCTTGAATCAAGAAACACTGTCAGAGATTTTCTTCAACTGCAGGAAGAAAACGAAAATAAGACCACATAACTGTGAGGCCCATATGATCATTCACATGAGCCACATGAAGATGTTGTTTTTGGATTTTTTTATTATTTATTTTTTAATGGTAAAATAACCAACAGTGCTCACAGGTTAGATACAGTACATACAAAGTATAAAAACTGCAAAGACAGCTAACAATTTAAAGAAACCAATAGGATCTTTAGTCCGGACTGTGATTCTAATTACAGAGTGCTCATTTACCCTGCAAAAAGGATTCACTATAAAAAGAACATTTGCAACATTATCTTTTTTAAAATGAAGAACCACTGAAGGAGTATCCAGGAGTATGTAGAAATGATGCTTTCACAGCTCAGAACCGCTTCACATTCAAGATAACACCAGGTAACAACCTACAGGAATACAAAATGTTTGATTGAAATATGAGCCGTACAATTGCACATAGACTAAAAATGCTCTTCAAAATTGAACAATAGATACACGGAAAAAATTTTTTTACATCAAATGCCAATATGTACAATTCTAGCGTGAAAAGGACCGGGACTTTCCTTCCTGGAAAACTAAATGCAAATAATAAACACAAAAAAACTCCTGAAATCGGGACTATCAGGAATGTGTTGATTTTAAAAAGTCAAATATACTTTTGCCTGTGGCCGAGGTAATTAAGTTCCTTTAAAGTAAATGCTATTTAAATATGTTATCAGTTTTAGGAATACTGACTTATTGGAACCGTGAAATATACAGTTGTGGCTCTCTGCCCTCTACACAGGGCATTTAACATTTTATGTTAGCATGTTACTGTTTACATGCTTTACAAGCAAGCAAACAGTTAAAATGTGCATTATAAATAATAAATGTATTATAAATAAATCACGTTTCGCATACATTTCAGAAATTTCACCAATACTCCTTTCATGTGGTGTGTTTCTTAATCCATACTGTCATCATGTTCTTAATGAATTATCATTCACCATACTGTTTGTGTAAAATGCTTCTTTCTTATCAAACTACACTGACAGTTTACTGAAATTGAACCGCATCAAAGCGTACACTTTCTTCAGACTGCACTGCATTTTAATATTAAGGTCCGACAGTGGTTGTTCTAACACTACTGAAAATATCACCTGAAAAGTAACAACTCACCTGTTCCCGAACGATTTGCTTGGAAAACGTTCTGTTAAAAATACTTTGTGCGATTGAGTGCTCTCTGAGCAAGCTGTCCGCTTTCATCTGTTATTTTCTCCCAATCTGTCTGTCCAACCACAAAACCAATAGCGCGCTTCCTATCGGCATCTTTTTTCTCTTCAAGATCTGCCCACCTCACCTACAGCAGAGTGGGGGGAAAAAACAAAACGTAAGTCATATAGATGAATCCAATATTTTACATACACCAAAGACTGGAAGAAAGGAAGGATTTATTCATGTTTTACTTTATACTGTAAAACTCTTTCAAAATACTGGAATGCAACAACAAACCTGACCCTTCAAGCAGAAGTCACCAGAATATCAACCGTAAATCATCAGAACACATAAATCTTTGTTTTAACTGCCGAAAAATTTGATTTACCCATGTTGACAATTATACAACATGAGATAACGCCGTCTCCTGTCTGAACCTTTGAAATAAACTCTATAAATCAAGTCATACTGAGCACTTAAATTGCTCCGCTGCATAAAAGTTTGTAACAGGGGCCAGTGATGAGGAACCTTTAAAAAACGAGCATGTCAACTCCACAATACACTAGGTTTCTATCTTCGTCACTTGATTAGTGATGTCTGAAAGAAATGCGTCACCCTTTTCTTTCCTGGCTCCGACATGCGGGTGGCGTAGTCATCTGGCAGCTGCAGGTAGTCCTCCATGTCTGTCATGCGGCCCCAGTCCCGCTTCCTTTTCGTGCTGCTCACCAGCCCGTCCAGCTTGTCTGCGAAAATAAAGTGCCTCCCTTGGTCACACGCCATTCCAACCTCCCGCCAAAGCCCATACGGAGCCGCGGCCGAGCCCCGGCACAGCCCGTGGTAAACGGTGGGCTCTCAAGGAACAAAAAAAAAGCACTTACTCTGGAGAAGCTCGTCCCTTTGGCTGCGGCAACATTTGGAAAACTACCTTCCCCGCGGGTTTTAATTTAATCGGGGCTTTTGCGAAGTTGCTGTCCCAAGGTGTAACCGAAATGACGGCAGGGTAACGAATAAATGATAACCCTCCGGAAAACACCGGCCGAAACAAATGAAAAAGACGCAGGAAGCACGACATCTCGGGATCGAAAACAAAATCTCAATGTGTCCAATTTCATTTTATCCTCTCCATTGCAACATGGTGCATCGCATCTGATGAAACGTGGGTGATTGCCGGTTTTATAATCGATGTTGAACATTTCAATGTTTTTGTAAAAATCAGAAGAGGTAACCCAGTTACACTTTCAGACATTTTTTAAATAGACTCAGTTTAAAACCAAATTGCTGTTAAAGTGAACATTATGATCTTTTTGGAAAACAAAAAAAGTACAATGTGCCATTATCTGAAACCAAGCAGAAAATAATTGGTCTTGCTGTGCCACACATTCAGTAGTTATATATATATATTATATATAGCACACAGTATTCAAATTAACATTTCCGTGGCTTTGAAAACATTTTACATGCATTAAGGAGGACAGTTTTAAAAATGGTAAAGATTTCATAAATTATATTTCAGTGGGGGGAAAACCATAAATGTGTTTTCAACAATGTTTCTAATAAAAACAAAAAGCTCTTATGTGTTTAAATTTTCAGCGTTATTTTAAGACATTTTATAATATTTATGCTGCTTTGGCAGCTTGAAAACAGTCAATATGGCTTGCTGGCTGAAGCAAACCAGTTTTGTTAACCAGTTAATTAATACACTTCTACTCACTAAAGATCCCAACTAGACAGAAAAAAAATGAAAAAAGTATATTTCAAAGTTGGAAAGATTCAAATAGTTACAGGTGTTAATTCAAAAACAACAACGTATTTGCACAATCATTATGCAAAGACTACGATAGTCTCCAAATAAGCAAAAGAAATACGTTTTCTCCCGGTGAAGGGCATGTGGTCAGTGAAGGCAAGTCAGTGACATATTAAGTGTTTGTGGCGGAAGACCAGACAGTTAATCTACAGGTTTATGAACAACATCAGCAGTCCTATAGGGAGGCATGATCCTCCTCCAATTCTGATCTCACTGAAGGGCACTGCAGTAATCCTACAAGTCCACCATCAATGAAATGCTTGAAAAAAAATTTTAAAAGTCTGTTTTCTCTCCCTCTAATGAACAGTGTAGCACATTCATGCACATCAGCTGCTGACCTTATCACCTGGAGTCGTGACAATAATCATTCCTACTTTCACAGATTCGAGCTTCTCTCATCGTTATATTGCAGTTGCAGCTTTGTGAGCTGGTAGTTTAAATCTGACTTACTACCCGTCTTTCGGACACCGTTTTTACAATCCTACTTGCATCAACAATAGTTCACACCTTTTCCTTTTTTTATTATGATATTCCCTGAAATTGAGTCTTGTACTTATAAGATACTAGTATCTCCTGTCATCACACCTTAAAAATTAAGGTTAGAAAATGTCCCTGACTCTCAAATACTTAACTTATATACTCTTTCCAATTTGCCTTTTTCCTGCAAAAAGACTGGAACGGGCAGTGCCCGCTCAATTACAGTCTCATCTGGTATCTAATGAACTCTCCCAACCTTTCTAGTTGAAAAGGAGATTGTCGACAAAGGAAATCTGACTTCTAACATCAGATCACTTAAAATTAATCACCTGCTAGGCTCGTGTGCCATTTCTGAAACTGTCCATCACGATATTCTACTGAAGCACATGGAAAAGTATTAAGAGAGAACTGGCACTTGACTTTGTAAGCCTCGCTCCTACCTGGTCAATAAATACTAATTTGTTAATCGGATCTTTTAAAACTGATGATGTTGTTTACTCTCTGAGTTCACCAGGGCTCTGAGCTGGGATCTCCACTACTTAGTATTTACAAGTAGTTTCTTGGTCATTCACCATATTCATCTCTGAACAGGTATGGATCTATTATTAATACTTCATTTTTTTCATCACTTCATAACAACAACTTCATTTAATCTAATCTAAAGGAAACATTTTAATACGTCATCCTAATTTTATCATTTATCAGTAATATATTATTACATCAGGTGTGTAGCTGCATCATTACAATTTTAGATAAGTTTATTTGTAAATATCATCTAATGCATGCCTTCTGGAAATAATAAGCTATTCTGGATGCTATGGGAATTTGGTAATATGCCAATATGCAAAACATTGCTACCTCTGAACCAATGGTGCCAAAAGTACAATTTCTCTGCGTCTTCCATTAAATATTTTCAAAAACACTGGTAAAGAAATTCACTTGGACCTTCAAAATACACAGTTCAGCAATTCTCTAAAGCATGGATCAGCAAAATCATCAAATACATTTCAAATATTAATAAATGAGAACATTTGAAAAAATACAAAACATAAGATACCACTGAATACTGCTAAGAAATTAATATTCTGAAACTACAAACACCAATGCCATTTATGGTGTAATTGGAGCAGTCCGACTAGGACTCAACAGTTGGTGTCATTGTACTGAACAGCAAATAGTGTTTATGGAGAGAAAAGAAATGCACTACAGATTACAATAAACGTTGAATTGAAACATACAAAATATAATGAGACCCAGGGCACAGCAATTGCATGATGGAATACTATCCCAATTGAAGTCAGGATGGCCAAGTTCGTGGGTGTTTTTAAATCACACTTCAAAATGTACTTGTTTTTGTCATTTCTACATTGTACATTTGTTTTATATATTTTTTATATAAGTAGTTTATGTTGGGATTTAATGAATGTTACATTTTATCATCTTTGAAACTTTAAATATGAAAGATGTTTCTAACATTAAGTTCAGTATCGTGATCTTCTTGGTGTTAAACCTGAAATTGATTAGAATTCATACCGTTTACAGATAGTTTGTACATTTTTATGAACAGCGTAGGTTTATTCACAAAAATGTACAAACGGAGGACGGAACAGAGAAGTATTGGATAGGGAAGTATATAGTGTTAAAATCAGTCAAAACAAAGCCTGACCATTTTTTTTTATTTCTTATAGATTACTTTAAAACTCCTTGCTTTCTAGAGGATAAAATATAGCAGATTCGTCGGCAACAGCACACACAACACACATCTCAAAATTGTAGGAACATATTCCCATAGTCAGAAGGAGCAAAAATGACTTTCACCTTAGGTTTAAAGTGTTTAAAACACTACTTATCAACGTTGCCTTGATGAAAGTTATTGTGCTACTTCTGTGAGGACTATGATGCACAGTGGACCTCACTGCACATAGTACAGCTCCTTTTAGATTAACTTCTTGTCCAGAACCACACATTTTTGACATACTTTTTAATTTATATCCCTTATCTACAAAATGAGCAATGCAAAAGCGTTTGGCATTGTTTTATTTTGTATAAAAAGGATATAAAAGAAATGCGTGCCAGCTTTACATAATATTTAAAAACTAATGTATTTATAAGAATGAGGTTACTTCCACGGTATGGCGCAAAATGAAACATAAGAATATTGTTCCTTCAAAACGGCAAAGCCTCAGTTTTGTGTTACCATACAGTTGTTTCATTTTATGTATCGGAATTGTCAGAGATATATCAACCACGTGTTCGGCTGGATACCCAAACTAAAAACAGCAGGGTGAAAAACAAGATATACCTACCAAGTTTTGCCCCAGAGGTGTCCATCTCCCATTTGCTTTTTGGAATGTAACCCTATATTATATACAGAGAGAGACTCCAACAGTTAGAATTCGGCACAGAGAGGAAACAGGAGGTGCCAAAGCTTAAAAATAGACAAGAGTTAATAAGATATTTTCAGCAAGGAACATATTAATCAATTCAACCGGCCTGTGAACAAGAAGAACATTTTATAGATGTTAGCATGCAGCCAATTCAATGGCACTGGGGAAAAACAAGCTATGGGAGCATGCGCCATGTGAACCCCACAGCAAGACTTTCACGGTTAAGAGTGGAATCCCACACAGAGCTTCCTGATTTTCTGCTTGAACCTGCATATCCATAAATAACACGCACAATAGCTTGTCTGCACCTGGAAATGTCTGTTTTAGATACATCTTTTCATGCATGGAATATCGCTTTAAAGGCCTTAAAAAAATAAACTTTCATCCTACACTTTTGGCATATACAGCAGTAACCCACAATAAAACAGCAGGTAGGAAAGAGCTAAACTATGTTGTTAGGACCACTACAAAAATGAACAGTGAATCCCAAATAATCCCAAAATCTATCATTTTTAATGTATAAATTTATAATTTATAATGTATTACACAATAGTGATACAGAAACATAACAGATTCACTTACCTACCAAAACTAACAATAAATGAAATCAATGTTTTTTTATACAAACGGTTAGAGAGCAGCTTATACGTTGCCTCTTATTATAATAATTTTAATTATTTGAACTAGATGAAATGGATTTAGAAAACAAATATATGTCCAAATCTTTTCCCGTCTGTAACATGACAGTTTTTTAACGCATCTGTGGCTGAAGTAATCGAGGTAATGGTTGGGAGGGATAAATGAGAAACAGTATTAAATGAATGTGATGCTGGAAGAAATACTGACCAACATCTCACAGAAGTGACTGGCGCCATAACAGTGAGAAAACCAGGTTCTCTGTGCTCATCTAAAGGCAGCGATTAGCTTAAAGCGTTTTAAGTGGACAGGTATATCCCTTCTCCCCATATGACATCACAGTAACTGTAAATGTAAATGATGTACAATATTTTACAAATGTGTAAGTACCTCATTAGGAAACGCCAACTGCAAACTATCTTGGGCAGATAGTACACTTACAGTAGAAGTGATACTAGCTTATGGGTATCATTAAGAGTCATGTTTTAATGGAAGGATCCTGTACTTACTGCTTTTCAAGGGCTGTGAATACTTTAAAGAATACCGTATCTACATAAAATTCCAAAGTTTCATGTACACAGTGCTCTTCCGAACTTCCGAAAAGTTAGCCATTACCAATAACGTAATAAAAACATTACAATAATTAAACAATTAGCAAGTATTGCAATATCTAGGTTTTATATATGATTTTATTAAAATAACAGCATGTGTGAGGTATTCTTTTTATCCAGATCAATTTACCTTTTAATAGGCAAAGACATACAAAACTTCTTTAATTAAAAATAGTAAAAAAAAGCACCCTAATTTTAGTGAATCTGAAAATCAGATATCTGATTCTATATAATCTGAAATTATAGATCTGAATCTATATAGGTCCTGTTTTAAAGTTATATGTGCACTCAAGAGTAAGAGTAACTGGTAATGACGGCCGAAGAGACAATGAGAAGATATAATGAAATCTCAAGTCATACAGTGTTCTTTGCCATTATGTTTCTGATCCTCTTCACCCACCATTTTCAGGCCATCAGTGTGCACGCTTACGTGGATCACAGCGCCACGAAAGAAGCCTTTGAAGCTCTTAAGTGCCCGTTAAAAACCAGAACAGAACCATGTGCCATCCTTGAGCTAGGGTGGAAACAGCATTAACCTCAGCTGCTTCAGAACAGCGATGTATTTCAAGATGTGCGTGAGTACCCTCAGACAATTACTTAACCTATCCACCACTGTAGGCCTAATGAGAAGAACATAAAGGAGAGAGAGAGAACGAGTTGGAAATGTAGGCTACTTACTTAGATGGAAAGTGCATTTTACCATGCTGGTGGGATATTTTGGTTAATTTCAAAACAATTAGTAAAAGAAAAATTTTAAGGAAAATAACATCCTTCTCTGTTGTTCTTTTATGTATGAAGACTTAACTGTTCTTTATTGGTTATACATTAGCCTAACAGGATGACATGTGGCAACCCATTTTCAGTTTGGCTTTCTGTGAAATGTTCTTATGATATTAAAGATTTGAGTAAAGGAGGAAAATCGCAGCTGTTCTTAACAACACTGATCCTAAGGCTTCTCTTTTATCATCAGTCTTTTAAAATAAAAAAAAAACATTGACAACAAAAATATTTAAAAAAACGCAGCACTCCCAAGACACTCCACAAGTCCAGAGGACAATTTCATTCCCAAAAGCTGAAATATTTAAGCTGTAGTTCTTTGCATAACCACCAAGGTATATGATATGAAAGAAAAGACAAATTGCCTGATATTGTTGGAGATATTAGGACTGAAAACCAAACTGAGGAGAAAGCAGATGTTTAGATTTCAAATTGTCGATTCAGAAAACTACATGCAGCCCATGATTCCTTACAAACTGCATAAGGCAAATTTAGAGCCGACAAGAAAGATCTTCACGAACTGCACATCAAAGTTTTCAACACTAGATTTCGGTCATGTAACAGTGCATCTACTCCATTACCTTACTAATATATATAAAACATAATCCCCGATCGATACTGTATTATTTTTAGACAAACATACTGTAAAATGTTCATTCAAATATGTAATCAATTTCTAAGCATGGTTAAACACCTTATTACATTTCTCAAGTTTATGAATTTTATAGATGAGATTATAACCACAATATGGGGGGAAAAAGTGATTTAGTAATTGAATGTTTTTGTATTAATTTGCTTTCCTGATTGGTTAAATTTACAGCACATGTAACATACGGTAATGAATGGTAATAAATATGACTATTTTTCAAGTAGATGCCCGTCCTCCCTAGACAAACATTCATAAACAACTGCAGGTTACATTTTTTAATATTATCTTACAGAAGCAGAGCAGAAAAGCTACAGTGTCAAAATTGGTATGTTTCTATAGAGGGCTTTGAAAAGCATAATTAGTAAAAGAAGTGCAATAGTTGTTTTTCCAGAAAACTACTTTAAAGTGCTTAAGATTTATTTTAATTTACTGTTGTTTGTGTGCAATATGGTAAATGTGTTAAAGGCCATGGTAAATAGCAGCTCTGATTAGAATATGTGCCATTTTCATTTCTTTTTAATGCCTTTATTATAGTTGTCCTGATTATGTTTTAATATTTTATTACCTAACCACTTACATTTATTGTAATTAAATATCCATATTTATTTTGCAGTATAGTGTATTACATTTTATGGAAAGAATCATTTAAAATAAAAAACTTAATAATCATGGCTGCTTCATGTTTTCTTTACTTTTTATGGTTTTGCAATGAATAATGGTTTGAAAACTTCCGTGTTTAAACCCTATGTATCAATTGACAACATCACTATGAAATTTAGCAGACTAAATAAAATCAAGACTTATCTGGCTGTAAGAAAAGTCATATGCTGCAGTAAACCTGATTTCAAGCTATAGCTGTGCACTGCTTCTTGTCTTAAAAAGTTCAAAGCATTTGAACCAAATTTTCCTAATATGGAGGATGTACTTCAGCATGTTTTCGTTGCAGCTTTTCTAGTTCGGGTTTTTATAAAAAACTTACGACACACATTACACAACACTCAATATGTTTCAAGAATCCTGCATCTTGCAGGCAGCAAAAATAAGCTGTCCTTTAGAAATACCATGAATTATTCTTACAAAAAAGGGCTTTAGTATTATGTTCCTTAATTCCTACTTGACATATAGATATGAAAAAATACTTATTCAACTGGCTGCATACAAATATAAATATAAAATATAAAAAGCTGTGAAAATACATGCGGAAGCTCTGTAATCCTACCAGATCCGCTTCCTCCTCTTCTGCTGCCTCTCTCTTGGCTTCTACTTTCTGCTCTTCTTCTGCTGGGTCAAAATCCTCCATCTCAACCTGTAATAAACAGAAGGGCAAAGAAAGAAGAAACTTAGAATCAGTCAAGCAGCAGTTTAGCAGCTTTCAGCTAGCATGTGCTCCATGGAGGTAGCTGTGAAGCTTCCTGTAGCACAATGATTTTAAATGTATACAATAGATTTAAAACTTTTCTCAAAGCAAATGTAAGAAATTAGAGCACATTGATGATTAGGTTATTGTATCACTTACGTCCTCTATAGCAGCATCTTGCAATAAGGACCTTATGTCGAGCCTCACCATGTGACGAGGGGCCGACTCCCAGTTAGTGGCCATCTGTTGTAGATACACAAATATTTCACACATGACAAAATCCAAATATTAATACTTCGTCCATAATCCCAGAGTTTTATTAAATAAAAAATCTAGGTATGAAATTACATCATTTTCAATAAGAAAATGTTACCCATCTTCTTCAGCCTTTTCCCTATTCAATGATGTGCATGTATGTAAAACATCATCTCTGTACTTCTTAAGCACTTCTTGCATGACAACAAAGGAAAACCTCTGCAAAACCAACCTTTGCAATATCCTTTAGCTTGCGTCCATGAATGTTCCTCTTGGCACATGTCTGGTTATCTACAGAGATTTCAGCTAAGTACACCTGTCAAGGAAATAGACAAATATACTTATTTTCTTAATCAACAAAGCATTGATTTGTCTTCCTGAAGCCATTCAATCAGCTTCTTAATGTAATTGAAATTAAAAAACTTAAAGCACACGAAAAGAAATAAGCACCCAGAAGTTAATTGATAGGTTTTGCCTGTTTGCATGATATCACCAAATGACTCACCTCAAAACCTTTAGTCTTGGCTGCACTCCAGAACTGATCGAAGTATTTAACTCTATCATTAATAGCGTCAATAATGATGAAGGGGAAGAATCCATCATCCAGGGTTTTACGGAAGGTTTTGAGCATACTGTTGCGATAGGTATCTTCCATCTCTGGCTCATATTCATATTCCAAAACCTAGTGGTAAAATGATTCCTCACAGTTAACTTGGGAGGATCAGGGCATTCATTCATTATCAAATATTTAATACAGTAAGACCGCCATGTAAAAGTATTCACTCTCTTCCAATGACGTTAGATTTTGCTGCATTACAAATGATGTATAGAGTTTTATAAAAGTTAATGTTATTAATCAAGTCTTAAATGCTTAAACTGAAACTCAAGCTGGGTAAAAATCTAAATCTTAACAACTAGCTGCATTCAACAAAACAAGAAATCATTGTAAGTTTTGGAATAGCTGTGCAGGGCACACAACATTTGACATTCTGAAGAAAACACATCTAAGATTAAAGTCTATACTCAAATAAATGGCACGTATATCTGACTGAGCAAGCTCCTGAAAATGGACAAAATAGTAGAAACTAAAACACACACATACCTTTTGTTTGACACGCTTTCCTGTATCGGGATCCTTCTCAACCTTTTCCACCTCCGTCATAAAATAATCGTCAAGCCCCAGAACTCGAGGAGGCGCCCCGCCAAATTCCACCTCCTTGTCCTGTACAAAGATTTGTTTTAGCTTAAAATTAAATTGCAATACTGTTGTATTAAAATGTGTTGTACTAGAATGGTGCTTTAAAAAGAGGATTTCTTTGAAATGTGAAAAGAATAAAGCAGGAGAAGACTGAAGATAATTATTGGCAATAATCTGGCTGTAAAGCTCACTCAAAAGCCTGGAAAGAATCTTCCTTCTATGCTGCCACAAGCTTACCCGGATAAGTTTTGCTACATGCGTTTTTCCACTCCCAGGGAGTCCTCTCATGATGACGACAATCTGTAAATAAAAGCCAACGCATTTAAAGCTACTGAACATTTTAAATGTCTACAATGTATAACTGATATGATATAAACTCTTCCTTCTTCGACATACCCTTTCAGGGCGGCTCTCTCTGCCCGGTGGTTTGAGGATGTCATCCACGTTTTTGGTTTCGGGTTTCTTTTCGACTCGTGGCGGAGCAGGAGGGTGAGGAGGCAAAGGCGGAGCAGGCAACCTCTCTTCAGGGTAACTCCTCCTGTCACCTGAGACGAGCAAGGGAAAAACAGACACGCTTAACATCAGCAGGCATGAAATCTAGAGATCGAGCGGAGGTGCAACAAATCAGGAAGAACAATGTCAGCATCTTACTCCCAAATGCAGGAGCGCTGTGGTCAAAGAGAGGGCGATCAGGGATGCGCTCGTAGGGTAGTCGGTCATATCCAGGCCTGCCAAAGTGCTCTTTAACATCTCTGTCTCTGCTGCTCCTGCCCTCACGCTCTCTGTCTCTGCTGTCCCTGCCCTCCCTGTCCCGGTCTCTGAAGCCACCTGACCGAGAGGATGGGCCTGGTGGCAGCCTGCAAGCAATTCATCGTATAAACGTGAAGCCTTATATCTGTTTTGGTGGATTCAGTAATGTGGTAATCCTGTAAAGAAGTGCTAATACTCAGAACAATGGGGCTTTTAAAGTTTGCAAATGAAAAGTGTAAAATAATTATTTTCGTACACACACTTCAGATCTTAAAGCAAGTTGGTGAAATGGATAATTTTGCTTAACAAACTCAAAACAACCAATTAACACAGAAAGATCAAATTACACTGCACACTTTTTACTCCTATCAAAATACTACAAAAACATTTTAAGACAAGCTGGTTTCATCTTGAGCTGTAATTTTCACAGAAAGGACAAGCAACTCATCACAATTCTACAAACTGATGTTAATACATACATTAAACCACATCAAGTCCATTTTTAGATTGTCAAAATCCTCAACTTGATGACAGAAATGAAACGTCTGTAGATATGAGCATTCTCCAAAGCCCCATAATTTGATCTGTCAATACCTCTCGTCTCTGGGGTATCGTTCTCTCTCGTATCGCTCCCTGTCGTAGTCCATAGGAGGCTTCTCACGATACATATCCCTCTCTCGTTCCCTTTCCCTCTCCCTTCCATACTCCCGGCGCTCCAAATACGGATCAACTCGCCTCTCGTAATATGGATCTCTGTCATATGGGACAAGTGGTTCTATAAAGCAAAGACAGAATTGAAAAAAAATAAGAGCTAGGTAAAGGGTCTAAAATCAGGAATATTTACCAAAATTGACATTTACCAATGCAAAAACACAGTTTTTTAATATAAAAATAAATTTAATTAACCCCCCCACCCCCCAGCACTGTCACTAATGGAAGTAGACAGAGATCAAACAGCTGTAGTCTCCAGGCATTGAGATTTCCCTGAGCAAACATGAATATGCCATACCTTTACATGCAAATTCATTCCATTCTTTGGCTGCTGTTGTAAGCACAACGCCTAGATTGAGACATTTTTAACTGGCAACAATAGACATAAATACATTGCTCTCTAGGTACATGAGTAGACCATCCTGACTGACACTGTGAATGCAAATGTGGTCTTTATTAGTCTCACAGGACCACAGTAACTCCTGCATGTCAAAAAGCTAATGTACTTTATCTATGTACTAAATAAAATCATATGTAACTAGAAATAACGGGTAGCTCACATACCTTTTTCATAAGGTCTCTCTGTAGGTACTGGATCTGGTCTTAGGATGATCCTTTCGCCATACGAGATCTGCTCAACTTTTGACACAGGATCTGAAACTGAGGGAATTAAACTTAATTGTGAAATATTCCATACCATCCTATCTTTTAAAGACATAAATAATTTCTACCACAAAAGAAGACTAGTACGGCAGAGTAACCTCTTTTAACTCTTGCTCTGCTTAATGCAAATACATTCATCGGGAAGAAAATAAAAAAGAACCAGCAGGTACAGCATATTTCCTTTCTTTACACTGTGGGACACTTTCCATTTTGCTTACCATGTCCATGTCCATAATCCACAGTCTTGGGAAGCACAACAGGTTTGCCGAGCATGGGGGCTGCCAGTGGTGTAGTGTCTGACATCACAAAGCTTGGATCTGTGGCTTGCGCAGTGCTTCTGGTGTCCCAGGCGCTATGTAAACTATCACCACCCCAGGCCTGAGCTTCAGGTGGCATTGCTGGAGCTGTAGATGCAGATGCCAGGCTAGCACTGGGCAGCAGGTTTCCTGTCTTGGGATAAAAATAGCAATACAGTTATAAATTAGGACAATTAGGAAATGTAGGAAAAAAATCATATCTGCAGGAGTTGTGTAGGAGCTTTCGGGGTATATTAAAAGTTAAAATGTCTTCCTCTAAATAGCTACAACTACTGTAACATTTCCTCAACTTGAGGGGACTCTAATATCCCTAGATAACAGGCTAAAATGGATATGAGACAATCCACTACCTAGATCCACGATTCAAAAATCCAGGAAGTTAATTTACCTTGAAAGCCCCTGTCACTGCAGGGGGGATCTCCAATCCCATAATCCCTGCTGAAGCCACCTCTGGCTGAAGTACTTGCTCAGTTCCTTCAGGTTTGAAAAACTCATTTATAGCATTTTTCTTCTCCTGTAGTTCCCTGTACAAGAACGAAAAAATCCAAGTCAGAATTTACCACCTTAACTATGAATGTTGCATTTTGCTAAGCAAATACATAAAACACCTTGGATAGTTCCAATACAAGAATCCTGTTAAAATCTGATAAAAAAAACAACTTAAAAGGTGATTTTTGTTAACTATATGACCATACTGGAGTATCATAACTGAAAACCTAGTAGTTATATCTGGACCTCACCTTATCATCTTGAGCTCCTGAGCAGCTTTCAGAATAATCTCATGCTGTCTTTGCGAAAGAGCCAGAATGCCCTTTCCAGTTCCAGAGGAGTCTTCTAGAGGATTTTCTGGGGGATTACTAGGCTGAGTAGGGAGCCCAGGAGGAGGCAAATCCATGGAAGTCTCCAAATGGCCTTCAAATGGAGGTCTGCGGTCATCAATCTCTGGTGCGAACGTCCTGTCAGGCAGAGGTTCTCTCTTCCACTCTGCTGGGTACTGCTGCTCCTCCCCTCTGTAGGCAGGTTCCTCTGGGTACTCCCGCACCCTCAGCTCTCCCCTGTCTTGTGCTCCTCTATCGTATAAATAGTCCCGGTTTCTGTCCTGAGGCCACCTGTCCTCCCTAAAGGGCTCTGGCGGTGCCCGTGGAGGACATGGAGGGTAATCCCAGCCACGATCTTTTACTTCCCACTCATTTCTTGGATGATAGTAATTCTGGTCCGTGTCTTGCTCAAAATTCCGGCTGTGGTAATCTGGGTGAGGCCTTCCATATCTGTCAGGCTCTGGCACAAACTCTTGCTCATACTCCCCGAAGTACTCTCCACGTCCCATATCTCTGTCTACAGTGTCATGGGAAGGTGGGGGGCGACGAGTGTCTCTTTCCATGATTTCATGACTTAACGGTGGTCGCCTGGAGTCCCTCTCCAGTATTTCATGAGGGAGAGGAGGGTGTCTGGGTTCCCTATCATGGGGCGCATGGGGCCATCTAGGCTCTCTGTCCAAGACCTCATGATGAAAATGGGGTCCCCTGTGCTCCCTGTCCATAATGTCACGGCCAACAGGGGGGCGCCTAGAATCGCTTTCTATGTCTTGGTGGACTGGGGGTCCTCTGGGATCCCTTTCCAGGACATCATGGTGTGGGGGGGGTCCCCTGGTATCTCTTTCTGTGACATCATGGTGGAGAGGGGGGCCTCTAGGATCCCGATCCAAGGCTTCAGGAGGAATAGTGGGGCGCCTTGGACCCCGGGCAACATAATCATGAGGAAAAGGAGGGGGACACCTAGGTTCTCTAACATCATGAGGAAATGGGGAATTATGCCGGAACTGTGGCCTCTCTTCCCTCCAGTATGGATCGCCATCTTCCCAGTAGTTGGGTTCTGGCTCCTCCCAGTGCCTCTCTCTCCCAGGACCATCCAGGGGCTCTCTTTCTAAGGGGGGGCCTCGCCTTCCATGATCCTCGTAAAAATCTTTATGGTAATGTTCCTCACCCTCTCTGCCCCATATTTCATCCGGGGGTGGAGGTAACCTGCTGTCCAGCCCCCCCCGCCTGTCTACAGAAGGATCCTGCCAATCATAGCCCTCCTCCTCCTGGCTTCTCTCCCTGTTCTCGCGGAAAGGTGGTCTGTAATCGTAAGGCTTGTGCTCAAAGCCCTCTGTCCGCTGATTAGGAGGGAAACCGGAACTACTACCAAAACCTGGTCCTCCAGTTTGCCCTCGGCCCCATCCTCGGCCTCTCCCCTGACCTCGCCCCCTTCCCCGGCCCGTAGGTGTCTGAGCTTTATGATTATCTGCAGACGAAAAGGACTGAGGTGGTTTAGGGGGTTCTGGTTTTGAGGGAATCTGTTCAGGAAGCTGAGGTTGGGCGTCAGTATTTCCTTCATTCTTGGTTTTCACTTCTCCCTGATTAAATGAGTTTTTATGGGAGGCAGCCTGCTTTTGAGGATCAGCAGAAGCTGCCGATACAGCGGTCTTGGCTGTCTCTGACATCTGCTGCTGTTTGTTTGCCATCTCTCCACTAGACTCATTTGGCTTACTTAAAGGTGCTGCCCTGTTCAATGTGGTCTGTGGAATTGGATCACTTTGGACAAAAAATCCACATTCTGTGTCAAGGAAATCATCCGTTAGCGTTTCCCTTGCTGACATGTCTCCAGCAGCAACTTGAGTAACTACTGTTGGTTTACAATGCTCATGCTGACCTTCAGGCTGGGAATCTTTGGCGCTAGAAGAACTCACGTCTTTACTTCCCTGTGGTTTAATTTCTGGGGCTTTCGGAGGCTCCGCCTTGGCCAATACATCAAACCTAGAAGGCTGCTGAAATCCAGGGGGCCTTTCAAACCGAGATGGTGGGCTTGGCCTCGGAGGCTGTTCAAATCTTGGTGGTGCTCCAAACCGTGTTGGCTGGGTGCTTCTGGGGGGCTGATCAAACCTCTTTGGCTGCTCTGCTCTGGGAGGAGGCTCAAACCGAGGTGGGGCATTAAATCTCTGCTGCTGCTCAAATCTAGGAACACCATGCCCTCTAGGACCATCAAACCTGTAAGAAACAGGAAATATAAATCATTCTGATCCCCCTCCCAGTAACTCACAATGATCTTGCAAAATGCAATATGGCAGGTATACATGTACTTATTTACCCATTATCACAAACTTTCTTATGCCTGGAAAGAGGCAGATCATCCCAACACCTATACAGGAAGAATATGGATTGGGATGCCAGCTAATTACAAGGATCACAAACATGTACAATACAGCGACACCAACGAAATGAGGAAACCCACCAGAAGTTGTGGAGAATATGCAAATTTCACACAAGTTGCCCCAATTTTAAATCAAAAATAAAAAAACCAAAGAGCTGTGAGGGAGCAGTGCTAGCAACCAAACAGACGACTGTGCCACCACTGTAAAGGCTAATACCAAAATCTTCCAATTTGCTATTAGTTTTGACACATTTCTTGATGATGCTACAGTTAAATGATTTCATGATAAATAATCCTGTGAATATCTAACAGATTTCAAACTTCGTTTTACATGACCTTACATATTTTTGATGAAAAAATCCAAATTAAGAAAAAAATGGTGAATGTATAGTGCATTGCACTTTCAGGAGAGGAAGAACAGCCTTACCTTGGACCTCTAGGGCCTTCAAAACGGGACGGTGCACTGGGAGTGGGCAGCAGCCCAGATGGCCTCACTCCTGGGCCAGACAGTCCAGCAGAAGTGTAAACAGCTGATTGAGCAGATGTAGGACTCGATTTCCCTGGAGCTGGGGAAGATGGCGGCTGGGTTTCTGAAGTTGTTGTGGTTGTTGGGGGCGATATGTGATTTGGAGTGGAAAGACCTTGAGCACTTTGCTGTACTAAAGAAGGTGTCCCTGTGGGAGGGTGAAGACCCTGCTGTGGGGGTCCCTGAAGCAATTGAGCCTTCTGTATTGGGGGCCCCTGGGGAGGGGGTCCCAGCGGAGGAGGAACCCCCTGGGGTGGGGGTCCTGGCGGATGGGGAACGCCCTGGGGCGGGGGTCCTGGCGGACGGGGAACGCCCTGGGGCGGGGGTCCTGGCGGACGGGGAACGCCCTGGGGCGGGGGTCCTGGCGGACGGGGAACGCCCTGGGGCGGGGGTCCCTGTGGAGGGGGAACGCCCTGGGGCGGGGGTCCCTGTGGAGGGGGAACCCCCTGGGGTGGGGGTCCTGGCGGACGAGGAATGCCCTGAGGCGGGGGTCCCTGTGGAGGGGGAACCCCCTGAGGCGGGGGTCCCGGCGGATGGGGAACAGGCAGACCACTCTGTGGCGAAGGTCCTGGGGCAGGTGGAATACCCTGGGGCCGGGGTCCCGGTATAGGAGGAACTGAGGCAGAGGAAGGCTGTACCTCTGAAGGGACTGGAGGAGCAGGGGTTAAAGTTGGAGGTGGTGGCATCTGAGCTTCTGAAGCGGTCCGGTGGTACTGTCCATATTGTGGCATCCCCATCATCCCCATATATGGGGTGGTGGTATATTGGTGCTGCATTGTCCGAAGGGTTGTCACCCTTTCTTGCAGGTGGGAAGAAGTGGATTTCATCTGCTCCTGCCACTGTTTCCACTGGCATTCATAATCCTGCAACTGATCCTTGTGCGGGTAGGACTGAAACTGCTCCTGCCACATTTTGAACTGCCGGTCCCACTCCTGGTAAAGTGGAACAAACTGCTGCTGCTGCAGCTCGTAGTGCCTAAGTTGCATATCGATGGGCATCTTCTACAGTAACAGAAAAACATAAGTCAGGTCAGCTCACCAAAGCACAAGATGTGTCCATGATAATGTATTGCGATAATGAAAACATTACCGTCTCATGTAACTGTTAAGAGAACATGTTCATCTTGCCAGTATCATGACTGCAATACTTATATTAAATAATGTCATACATTGAACTATAGAGTTATTAATCGCTGATAATAAATCCTAATTTATTTTAAAGTACATCACATGAAACAACACTCTGATAAAAACCAAATTTCTTTTTAACCTAAAATGAAACCCCTTGTCCATGGATGAATTACACTGGAAAAAAGGCTCTCAGCGCCGTCACTGTTAATGGTTAGAGCACGTCACCTGCAGGTGTGCCGGCTGCTGCATGAACTGCTGGTACTGCTGCAGGATGTGCTGCAGCTGTGTGTGCTGCTGCATGAGGGCCTGATACTGGTAGCCCGCTCTCTGCTGCTGGGTCTGCTGCCACTGAGCTGCTGCAGCCTGGAGCTGCTGCAGGCGAACCTCTTCCTCCGGGTCTTCCGCCCTCGTGATCACGGTGGGCTGAAAGTGCAAACCGGAGAAGTGTGAGGGGAAAAGAAATACAAGTGCAAACGGGGGCTCTCCACTCTGCTCCTAAGGGTCTGAGTTCCAACAGATCTTCTAAGCCTTCACCTGACGTGGAACTGATCCACATAAGGCTTAACTGGACCACTTGTTATCCCTCTTCCAATTTAAAGAGACCCTGTGTTGGGAAACGGCGCTCTACAACAAAAAAAAAGCAACCCAGGCATGTAGACAAGAAAAATAATAAACTTTCAACATGACTTGGTTCATAAAGCCTTTAATATTTAATATTAAGAGAACACTCTCATAGGCGACCAGACTGAAAATGAATCTCAGCTGCATGTGTTTTTGGCACTCCAAGAGCCGCCTGGGTGAACAGGTCTGCTCTACCTTAGAGTCCTCTGGTGGAGGAGGTGGAGGGGGCTGCTCTTTGGGAGGTGGCGGAGGAGGCTCATTTTTGGGGGGCTCCACGGGTGGAGGGGGAGTTTTTGTGGTCTGTTTGTCGGCCGGGGTGCGAAATTCCTCCTGCGGCTTCTTCTCTTTAGCCTTTTCATGTTTTAACTTCTGTAAATTCTGGAGGTGCTGTTTGTACCAGTACTGCTGTTGCTCCTAAATAAAAAAAAACAACAACTTAACCGTTAAAATGAACAGCCCCCTTTTCCTAATCTTTATGGAACGTGGTAAATGAACACAGAGCTAAACAGAATGTGCAATTCCATGTTCCCGAGATATAATAAACTGAGCATGCATAATCAAATTACACACGTGGAACCACTTTTTCGGTTTTGCTTTTTAATCTATATGGACAGTTTCTTGCTTGCAAAACAGGTCAGCTGAAGGCTGTTTTCTCCATGGAAGTGCAGAAGGACAATTTTCTTCATTATCGGCTTTTTTATTTTTTGCTGCTTTATAACCGTACATAAAACCACCAAAAGGAAAACTTGCCTATAGGGCATCCACATTACAAAGAATACTCAGCTGTATTAAGTATTAAGTGCTCCTAGCTCTTTGCGGTCTTAATCCGATATTCCACATGTATGCCATTGAAAAAACGTAATATTTTGCAAACAGCTTCTCACTTTTGTTTCAAACACTACGTACAACAAACAGTAAATGAAAACACTTAATGCTGGCATGCTAGTTTTAACAGCAAAAGACTGAAGTTATTCGACTGCATCAGGCCAGTGTCTAAGAACCGTAATCAACACTGAACAATCGATACAGCTGGATTTGATACACAACTGCTTACGTAGTTGTGTGTATTCCTTAAAGGTTAAAGGTTTATTCCATGCTGACAAGAGAAGAAAGGAAACACAACGTTTCGGCTGTGGAGCCCTCTTCGGGCGTGGTTGTGTGTATTCAACAACCTATTTGATGATCCTTCCCGGACAACCACCACAAGCAAAGACAAGGACGGACGAACTCACCTGTAACGTCATTGAAGACAAGTCTGCTTTCTCTTCCTCCGGCTTGGTGGCATCGCTTTCCTTTTTGTCCGTCGCTCTCGCGTTTGTACCCCCTTGCTGCGGTGCACTTTTACTGGCGTTGCTGTGGGAAGGCACTGAGGGGCTGGGGTCGGTTGTGGGATGAGGCGGGGGTAGCGTCGGCGTGTGGTGAGGCTGCTGTGCGGCTGTCGGGGGACCCCTCTGGTGCTGCTGCTGGTAAGTGGCCGGCGCAGACCCCCCAGGACCCGGAGGGGCAAAGGCCGGTGCACTTCCACGCCAGGACCCCGATCCACCCGATCCACCGGATCCGCCACTGTACGGCCCACTGTTGTGGTGCAGCACTGATTGGAGCTGTTTTTGATGGAGCTGCTGCAGTTGCTGCATCTGTTGTAAATGCTGCTCCCGCAGACTCGAGAAGTTAGAGGCCGGACCTGAGCCATAGCTTCCCGGCGCCCCGTATGGCCCATGGCTTCCCCCTGGGGGCGGTGGACCCCTCACAGGCGGCGGTTTCATACCGTAATGTGGAGGAGGAGGATGTTGATGTCCACCGCCATACTTTCCCCAAGACGGATACATTCTTGGTTGGTGTAGGCCCCTAGACACTCATGGAAAGCGGGACCAAACACACGTTTCTTTTCTTATTAAAAAAAAATTCTTAAGCTGGTTTAAATCAGCAAGCTATGAAGTTGAACCGCTTGCTACCCTCTCTAATTCAGAGCGTCCATCGTTTTGATCACATCAATTATAAATCCTCTTCCTTTTTCTCGATATTTTGGAAAGAACGAAGTGTGCACGTAAACGTCACGACATCCCCCCCCCACTGCGTCTTTGCGTAATCCATCTGTATAGCGTGAATCTCCGGCGCGACGCCCGCCCCGCCTCCGTTTTAAATAAACTTTATTGACACACAGGATGGGTTCAGAAACCAGAACCGCTATCAAACCGTCAAGTGTGTGGCGTTTCAGTCATATCCAAACGCAGGGATACTTCAAACACCCAAGTCTTTTGAAAATAAACATTAAAATAAAATCTGATAATTAAATTGCATATTCATAAAACGCAACAAATAAGCAAATTGTTAAAGTTTCACTTTCTTCATCCCAAAAGTCGTTACCTTTTACGTGGGAGTGAACAAATCACTTGACTTGGGAACAGACAGCTGTAACGGACGTGAACAGACGGGATTGTATTCAAATATAACCCTTCCACCGGTGTTATTTTAATAATTTAATCCATATCAAATTCTATGTATATGTAAACTGACAATATAAATAACTAAAAACATTTGATAGGTTTATTCCATGCTGAAAAAAAGAAACAAAACACAACGTTTCGGCCGTGGAGCCTTCTTTGGCCGAAACGTTGTTTTCTTTCTTCTTTTTTGTTTAAAATTGTTTAATACACAAGTTCTCATTTAGAAAATTGTGTGCAATTCTGGTCATCACAACACTCACATAAAAGATACTCTTGCCCTGAAGTTAACCCAGATACATTCCCAGGGTCAAAGGAATACCTTACACTGACAGGTAAACACAAGTATACCTTTCTTAATCTTGCAGATATGGAGATTAAATAAGTATTCACAATGCTCAAAGGCAATGACAAAGTCAACCCAATGGACTCATTCAGAATCTACAGTGAAACATGAACTGGAGGACACAAGTGGAAAGTGCTTTTAAATCTAAGGACTGGAACCCTTTATACAAAGAGTCTGGCAGCTCGACTCTGGCATGTTGTTGAAGCAGATATGCCTAATTATTTAAATAAAAGGCTGGATGAGAACTTCAGGTCAGTTTGTCAATAGGAATAAACAAACAAGATGCACCAAATGGTCCCCTCTCATTTGCAAACTTAGTGTTCCTAAATAGTAGTCAAAAGCCACATAAAAAAACATTTTTTAAATAGAGCACACATGAAACACAGAAAGTGAGGCATCATTACTGTTATAAACAGAAATTGTTTACTTTCAATTTCATTATGGAAAATAACAACTCTAGTTTTTATTAGGCATCTTATCATGAAATACTAGTGTTTATTGGTTGTAAAAATACTACTGTAAGCATTAGATATCCAGTGCTCCATTTCAGGCACCAGGTAATGGTAGCATTAGCCGAATCTAAAAAAATAGTCAGTACAGCAGCATGTGCACAGACTGCAAAAAAGGGAAAGATAGTATTTTAAAGTTACTAATAAGAAATATTAATTTCAATGAAATTATAATGAACAAGATAAACTCATACAGTTGTCAGATTAAATTGTTTAAAGTTCTGTTCCTTGCATGGATGCTACAGCAAAGCTGTGTTATTGGAGGCAAATTTTTACACATTCAGCCATTAGATAGGCTTTTAAAGAAAAAAATCAAAGCGAAAAATAAATCTAATCACAAGAGTACCAACAGTTTTTTTCTTTTATTTAAATTCATTTATTACGTGCAGTTTTGTATCACAACCAATCATCCAAATGACAGTGAAGTCTTCTACAGTGAGTGATCTTGATTAGCCTCATTGAAGCCTGACATCCAAGAGACTGGGGGAGTTAAGACTGGTATTGAATTAGATACTTGTAGTCCATCGTGTCTCTTGCAACTGGAATGTGCAAAAAAGGCATCTATCCTACAGGAAGCATCTGTCTGAGCTGGCCGCATTCTTCCATACACTTACAGCTACAATCGTGGAGCACCATAGTCATCAGGCATTCTTTCAATATTGTACCTACATAAAAGAAAAATTCCCATTACTTAAAAAACAACATCATGTAATACTCTCACTGTGAGTTACTACTGCAGATTTTCATTTAAAAGCTTCAAGAGAAAAAGGCAGTGGGTATTAGTGATTTCTGCTCCAATGCTGTTATAATCGAATGCTTCAGAAGCAGGTGTTTTTAAAATTTAAGACATCCTTTACTGAGAAAGAAGCTGGATTTAAGATTGTCATAAAGCAACACTAAATGACATAGAAGTAACATGATGTGACAATTCTGAAAATGATCAGATAGCACTTAATATGAGAGTTTATCAAGTTGTTTCCAGAGCACAGCAGGATAAACGTAGTCAAATATTTTGGTGGATATATGCACCCATGGTACATTAATAATTTATTTATATTAAAGGGTTTAACTTGAACTGGACTTCAATAAGATGGTAATAACAGGTATAGATGCAAGTGTTGTGATTTTGATATGAAACCTGCTTAAATTCTTAGATTTCAAGTACAATTTGATGAGAGGTCTGCAGTACTTGATATTTCCAGGACTACTGCATGGAAAATGATATTAAAAGCCATGCTAGTTCCAAACTTTAAACATAAGACATGTGGAATGCCTGACTCTCTGATTGGTGAATTAATGACTATGACATATTGTAGTAGTCACAAGCATGTCTACTAAGGACAGAGCATTTGTAGGAGTTTCTATTTTTATGCTGAGAGACAACGATTTCTTGAACACATCCAATAAACACCATTACACTCCTAAATTGAAACAAACCAGAATGCTGGGAAAGCTTAAAGAATCAACCCTACCAAAACAACTCTCCTGGGACATTCTGTGGAAAAGTGGCAGGTATATTTTGGAGCCTTTTGGCTAAAATGTTTCCAATTTCTAAGAGATTAATTGATTAAAGTAATTCTTTTATCAGAGATTAACTAAGAGATTAGCTAAGAGATTAACTGGGTGATTAAAGCTTTGTCACAGACAAAGAGTTAACAATCTGCCTAAAAATGTGAAGGAAGTTCCTATAGTCAGCAAAACTCTTACCTATGTTTAGAAATATACATGATAGGGACTCCTGGGATTTTTCTGATTCTCCTCTTCAATTCTCGGTCCACAGTTGCAACAATGTAACACTTATGCTGTGAAAAAAGTTATTTTAAAAATTTAAAAAATGTTAAATCTTTAAAAAAAAGCTCAGAAAGGGTTAATTATCAAGTGGAATGTAATCACCATAATTAATTCAACAATCTAGTTTGTATTAATTGATCTTTCTAAAAAGAAAAGAACCTGGGTTATATAGCAGTGAGCAGGACTGGCCCACATTTTACTGTTCTCTTTAGAAACAAACACCAGTTTCCAAAGCTTCTTTCCAGGTGAAGTGAGATGGACAGAATTCTCACAATAAAAAAAGTGCAAGTTTGTCATTACTAAGATCAGTACACCAAGACACATCATCTTGTTTGCCCTGATCCCCACTTTGCAGCAGTGCCACAGGTAGAAAGCAGAAAGTTGAAAACAAACCGTGAAATGGAAAACAAATTTACAAATTGTTCCATTAATATGACTGGACGTTAATACTTCAAGTGAAAGACAGAATTGTGAAACTGTTTCTCATCCCTATATTTTGTAAATTAGCACAATCTGACTTCAGCTGAGAGCACACTGATTTTTGTGGAAGACGAAACCTAAACCTTGTTCAGAGATCATTAACAGGGATCAAGAAGATATAGTCCTGGCTTACCTGTGTGACCCTCTGAACCAAACAGTCATCAGCATACGTTCCTTTGTGTGTACAGGGTAACCTCTCAAACCGAGGATCTTTGGCAATCCTGCAGTGAAATATGTCTAATTTTAGCCTTCATCCAAACCCTGGTCTCATTAACCATGAGGGAATATCATCTTAACCGTGGCATCCACAGTGTGGTCTTCACCATAACAATACATCATAATCGGTCTTCACCACAGCATTAAACACACAGTAAAAGTACTGGGAACAAGACTCAAATCTTGCACATTTATTATTACGGGATTAGTTACATTTTATAACACGATATATAATGTATTATATATATATGATAATAAAAGTAACTACTCAAAGCGCTTTTTGCAAGGAAAAAAAATAGATAAAGACAGAAGATAAAATTAGCACACGTAAATAAACACAAGCGATAAGAAATAACAGAAGGTACGAGGAGCAGACACAGACAGCGATTAAATAAAAGCCTTCCTGAAGAAAGTTTTGAGTCTAGATTTGAATGCACTCATAAGTGCATCTCCGATATTCTTGGGGATATTCCAGTGCTTTGGGAAATAACATTAGACGTCCCCGTCACCCACAGAGCAGAAACAAGCTTAATTGACAAGCAGGAGACCAGAATCAGACAAATGAATTTTGCAAGGTGGGGAGTAGGAAGATAACGGGGCGGAGTGGAGG